ATTTCTTCAGGGTTCAGCTGAATGTCTGTAATAGATTGTTCTAACTTCTCAAATAGCTTAGCCTTCAAATTGTTTACCTGTCAATAAATAGAAAACCTAATATCATACAACCTTCATTAACAATACCCAAGAATATATAATCTTATTTCTCTAGAAATGGAGGGATAGAGAACATGGTGGATATCCAAAATTATCCATACAATGCCCAAAACAATCGCATCAGAAGGACAGCACTTGAATAGCAAACATTCAGAAAAGAATTACTTGTTGATAAAATCCCATCATATCTCAACAAATACGCAAAATGCCATTCTGTTCTGCTATTTGAAAATTATAGTACAAACCGGAAAATTCAACTGCTTAAGAAGCACTGCAGCCTCAGCTCTCACTTGGATTGATTCAGAATCTGAAAATAGCTTCCCCTGGTTAGAGAGAAAAATGTCAAATCACCATAACAAGCTTCTGTAAAACACAATCAAGCATCAGCTATTAATACAGCAAAACATTGAAGATTCTATGTTAACAGGGATCTATTAACTTCAAAGATTTCCCTTTTTTGGAACAATGAATTAGAAATACTGGACAGGATAAGCTTATCCCATCCAATCTTAGTATGACTTCGTTGACTAAAAAAGAGAGCATCTACCTAATCTGCCAAGACCTCATAACACACCACGTTATATTGCAGGCTGCAGCTATTCTACAAGGAAGGTATGATACCACAAAACAACAATTTGACAAGTAAATCATCAACAGTAGTTCATTTTACGTGACCAATAAAATGTCAAAATTATAAGGAAAAGATAACAAAATCCAGTGTCCCCTGACTTGCATTTTTGCTTATTGGCCTAAGTGCAAAGAGTCTGACAAAAGCAAAAGAACTATACCTGCAAGTTTTTTACTATGATAGCTATTGCTTCTTCAGATGCTTGCTTACAATCCCTGAATGACGAATCTCCATATGCCTAATAAAGAGGGGGAAAACCAAGATATTTCATCTGCAACCTAGATTAATATATTGTGTGTAAAAGTAATCAAGGGATGGAAGCAGAAACCACACGAGCCAAACACAACCTTAAAAATTGGCATTGCTCCTGTGTAAAACCTGACTGCATCTGCATAGGCCTCTGATTTGATGCACTTGCTAAGTCTATCAGGTAGATCGTATATGAACTGCCCATCAACAAGGGTGAGAAGGGTGTAAGTAATTTTGCGAAACTATTTAAGAAAAACTGTATTAAAAACCATGGACAACAATTTCTTTCAATATGAACTCCACTCTACAACAAACTGACAATTCATACCAGCAAGTCATATGCGAAAACATAAAATTTGATGTGAACAATGATGCAAAGCCAAAATAAATATACATGATCGCTTTAATACCTGAACTTTTCGAAGAAGATTGCAAGTCCGATGCAGTTTCTCAATATGCTCCCTTTTGTCAAATAGAGAAGTGTTGACATTGTCACTTCTTGATTGCACGGACATTATCTGCATCGGGGGAAAATGTAGATTCCTATCAAACTCCCTTTTCTTCGTCTTTTGACTTTGTTTTTTTTCAATGAAGTTCATACACTGAAAAAGAAAATGACTAAACGAACGCTGAAGTTACCTTCTCGAGAAGCTGTTCCATATTAGTCTCCATCCCTGAAATGTTACTTTTCATCCTGTTTGACAAGCAAATATTACCATTCATCTAGACAGCACTCTCTGAACAGAATGCGCATTAAGAATACAAAAAGAAGCAGACGATTTTTCACTCGATATAGCTAGAGAGAAACTGTTATACGTATACCTTTTTATAGTATCCGTAGCGCTGATGAACTTATTGTAATTCTCGTAGACCAGCATTTGCAAGTCAGTGTCGAGATTCTTGATTTCAGCCGCCATTTCAACGTGCCGTTGAAGTAGTCCTTCTAAATTGGACTTGTGTACCTTAAAAATTGATTCATTCAATAAAATCAAGTGTTCCAAATTAAACTTCGTCTTCCACGGGGACGGTGATTAAGTGAAATAAGAAGAAGATTACCAGGATATTCATGTACTGATCGGGATCGAAGGAGGTAGAATTGATGTCATCGAGGGAAGCGAGTTTGGAGGTGTTGGCGGAGTTGGACATGGAAGGGTCTGGGGAGTAGAAGCTTGATAGAAGATCTCTCATCCTCTTTGCTTTGTCGTCCAATGGTGCTTCATCTGCCCCCATTTTTACTGTTCGCTTCTTTGTTTCCTCTGCTGTGCCAAGCCAACGCACTTCTCCGATCTGTGAAATGAAGTCTGAGATTTGCTGAAACGGAAGACAGTGGCCTTGGCCCTTGGCGAACGGAAATGGGCCCAACGGGCCCTTAGGCACACGTCACTTGTTGATCTGGACTTGCCCAAAATTATGTTGAACGTGACTTTCGGCCCAAAAGCATTTGAACCTCGTTTGAAGGAAGGTTATACCAAAAACAAATAAGAGAGGAGATAACGTTGTTCAGGAAATATTGTAATTCGGTTGACCGCGAAAAAAAAATTCATGTGGTAAATATTTTCTCGTAATTGTTTTTTTAATTAATAGTTTTCTATTTATAATAATGAAATTTTTTAAAATCAAATAAATTAATCGTAAAAAAATGAGCATTGTTGTTTAAAAAAAAAATTAAGAGGACTTGAGATATCTCCTTAATATTCAACCCCGACTTTTGCTTTTGACCAAAAAATTTATATACTCGAGAGTTTATTGGACTTGTGATAATTTGAAAGGAAGTGTGAAGAGGAAGAAAGGAAAGAAGAAAGTTTTTTTTTTAAAGAAAATAATTTATTGGATTAAATATTTTTACAAAACAGAAAACTTAAAGCATGTTTGATTTCTTAAAGTTTTAATATTTTGCTTTAAATATAAAATAGAGAACTAAATCCTTTACTCTTTTTCTTTCTTCTTAAACATGTTCTCTGCCTCTCAATTATTATGCCTTTTGGCTGACAAAATAGTTACCCATTTTCTAAGATTAGGCCAACATTGTATATACTTCAAATAAGATCAAGATTAGAATATCCCTTGTTGAGTATTCAGTTGCTTCCAAAGTTCTTGCCACCATCCTATTCCTACACACACAACAACCGTGCAAGGAAACTGTAAGGAAAAAAAAATTATAATAAGAGAAGAATGTAATTATTGTCTGAAAAATAATAAATTAGTTGACCTTTAAAAAATTAAATGGTTAAAAAGATATTAAAAAACCTTATCCTATGTAATATGAGAAATAAATAAACCTTATCTTTATCCTATATAATGTTAATCTTATTATCTTACTTTTCCTTTTTAACAAATTTTTTGTTGTTTTAGAAAATAAGTATAGAATGAGAAAAATATATATTTATTATCTTAAAAGTATAAAATATATTAATTTTTTATTTATTCGATAATTTAAAAGATTTGTGTGAATAAATGTTAAGATAATTTAGGATTATTTTATTATAAAAATAGGTTATAAAAATTGTAGTGGGTTTATGCAATCCTCGCACTACTGCGCATACAACTTCACTTGTACGGTCCTCATTCTTCAACTTTAAATTTGTTTTTTCATTATTATTAATTTAAATTATTTTTTAAATAAAATTTAAATACTTACAATTTAAAAAATTTATTAAGATTTTGTCTTTTTCCCTAATTTATTACTCCCAGTAAAGAAACAAAAATGAAAGGATTTGGAGTTGAAAACTGTCACTGACAAATCTCCAGTTTTTAAGCTGTAAAGGAGCTTTCTTATATTTGTTTACTTATCTTTTTAATAAAACTTTTAATTGGTTTATAAAATAAATATTAAATTAAAATCTATTTTTATCTTGAAAATATAGCATATATTAAATGCTTATTTTATTTAATAATTAAGATAATTTATAAGAATAAAATATAAAAACATTTAAATTCATTTTCATCAATTATACCTTAATAAATATACATCGTGTTTGAATTTTAAAAAAAACTATTTTTCACTAACAATATTTTTCTTTAAATATTATATATATATGACATTTATTTTTGACTCAAAATTGATATTATAAATTAAATTAAAATAATATCTGTTAGTTGACTCACATGATAATTTATGTTTATTTTAATAAGTATTATAAATTTTTATATTAATTTTTTGTTTATAATTTTTTAATATAAATTTATGTATTGTATATTTATGTTTAAATTGAATAAATTTTACATATTAAAAACATTTTTTATTTATGAGAAAATTATCATACAATTTTGCTAGTATCAATTCTCGAATTTATATTTATATTTTTATTATATTAAATAAGATTAAATTAAAAAATAAGTTGTTAAAACTAAGAAAAATATTATAAATTTTGAATTTAAGATCAAATAAAACATTGTTAATCTACATTAATATTGTGAATTGAAATTTGAAAATTCATCTAAAATCATGATTAATCAAAATTATAATATTTTTAAAATTTTAATTTACCTATAAAAATATTTTTTAACATTTAATGTATATTAAGAGTATCCCAGTAGACAGTCAAAGAATAATTCATAATTTGAAATAGAGTCTTAAAATGTAAAATTTAAATTAAATTACATGTAAAACTAAAGAAAATTATTCAATAAAAATATTTTAATATAATAAAAAATAAAAAATAATTTTCAAAATGTTTTTTATTTAAGAGAAATAGTATAATTTTCCTTAAAAATAGAAGAGCAAATTTAATATATATAAAAAATATTGTTAGACAACCCTTACTTCTTTTGACCAGTTTATAATGTAAACAAACATGATATGCTTTAAATGAAATATACGTCCTAAAACAATCATCCTAAAAATTCAAAATATAAGATTTAAAAAGTTAAAAATTTGACGAATTCATTACTCCCCGTTAAAGAAAAAAAAAAAGTTGAAAATAGTTGGATGTCTAAGGAAATAAGCTGTCTCCCTGTCGTCACTCTGCCGCCAGCTATGACGCGGTACCATAAAATCAAAATCAGAATTTCAATTAATAATCGTAGCCATTGCACCGCGACACGTTTTCCATCCCCCTGTTTTTTTCTATAAATTCCAACTTTCCCATCCTTGTAAACCTTCTTCGGATAAACCTCTTCACCTACCTTTACACAGTTACATGCTTCTGATACCTCTAATCTCTCTCTCTCTCGCTTTTCCTTCTCTGTTTCGTGCCTTTTGAAACTAGATCTGCTCTTCAATCTAGGGTTTTGTTCGATAAGGTTTTCTCAAATGTTTACGGAATTTCTATGACCCTCGCAAACCCCATGCGTCGAATTCGTCTCCTCCACTCCTTCTCCGTCGTATTCCTCTACTGGTTCTACGTCTTCTCATGAACTTCCTCTCACTTCCCTAATCGATTCGATTTTCCCCTCTTTTTAGCTTTGTAACAATTAGATCTGCAAAATCGTATTTCCATAACATTGACAAAATCACTGATTCGAATACCTTTGAGAAGACGAGAAGAAATGGCTTCGATTCAACGCCCTGCGAGTTCGGGATCGTCGGAAGGAGGAGGAGATCCGCAGATGGACGATAGGAAGAGGAAGAGGATGCTGTCGAACCGCGAATCTGCGAGGAGATCGCGGATGAGGAAGCAGAAGCAGCTCGAAGACCTAACCGATGAAGCGAGTCGATTGATAAGCTCGAACGAGCAAATTGTTGAGAGCATAAGCGTGAAGGAGGATGCGTACGTGGAGATGGAAGCCGCCAACGATATCCTTAGGGCTCAGACCATGGAACTTGCAGATCGATTGCGTTTTCTCAACTCCATCCTTGAGATCGCAGAAGAAGTTAGCGGTTTCTCCGTTGAGATTCCTCAGATACCGGACCCTCTCCTCATGCCCTGGCAGATCCCTCACCCGATTCACCCTATTGTAGCTTCTGCTGACATGTTCCTGCATTGAAATCGAGGCTTGTTTGTTTCATAGTTCAATTAGAATTTTATCTGGAGTCTTCGTTTTCTCAGTTTGGTTTGTTGATGTTCCTTGTTGTAGTCGATGAATAAAGAAAGGGAATAGTGGTGTTAATTTGCATTTTGTTTTAGATCCGTGTGTTATGAGTGCGGTTTGTGTTCCCGTGTTTAATGTATGTATCTGCATTCTCATAGTGACATTATCTTGTGATATATATGGTTTTTCTTTTCTGTGTTTACATTTGTTTCTGATTACAATTACAAATTTGAGTAACCGAATCCAGAAACGATCATTGAGGGAGACGCCACTGTAGCTCATGTGGACAGTAGCTGCAACGGATTCTACTTCTAAATTCGTGAAGGATTATGGCCCCCTTACGTTAACTTTTTTGATAAGTAATTGAACCTTTTGATAAGTAGATGTGAGATAAGACGTTATTATTGAAGCCGTGATGTGAAAAGTGACTTTTAGATAAGTTAATTTTGCATTTGAATGATTTTTTTTGTATGTATTTATTCAAGATGAGTTGTGTTTAGATGAAATTGCATTTTATTTCCACGATGAAATTATTTACAAAATAGAAAAAGTATATAAATTTATTTTTAGAACGCCTGAAATAAAGAAAGTAAACAAAGAAAGATTAGGCTCTAGTGTACATAACCCCTACTCTATCTAAGGATGGATTAATATCCCAGATTTTTTTATCAACCAATTGGTACAAAAGAGTTGGCTTCTCCAAGATATGCAGAAGAATTACAGCCAATCATATGTCCAAAGCCTGCTAATGGTGTTCGTGATGTTCGATATTAAATTCTTAATTATTAATATAATCAACAAAAACCGTATTTTGGCCCTTTTAAATACTAATAAAAAATATTTCCTTATCTTCATGTATTGGTTGTTTTATCAAAGGTATCGAAATTTTCATCATTTTTATCATTATGTAAAATCATGAAAATAGTGGTAAATTTATTTTATGTCTTGAAAGGAAAAAGAAACATATCATTTAATATATTTCGTCTGAGTCTTTGAAGGAAAATAAAACATATTATTCAAAATCTATCGTCTTGTTTATGTTCAAATCATGCACCTGCTCACATTTGATACACCTCCACTAAGGCAGCTCCCGTTCTGGTTAAAATACTCGCAGGTTTAACATTTGTGCTTTTAGAGAAAAAAAATTGTTAAAAAATTATCCTCCGGGAGAAAATAATATAATGAAAATAGACAGCAAAAGATTAATAATTTTAACCTCAATTATATATTTCTTCTCGCCTCATGTTTTTCTTAGAAACAAACGAAAGTAAGTTAAAGTATTCACAAAATCAAAGAACAAGAGATTTTTTGTTTCCATTTTTTCTAAATTCACAACGGTAAGTCTAACTTTTAGTAAAAGTTGTGGAATATTCGTGATTCCTTTTGGGGATACCCGCGAATATTCGCGCGTGTTGTGAAACGATGTGCTTAGGGAATATATAATATATTGGTTACATGAGGTGTCATTTTGATTAAAAATTGTGTAACGATGATGGCACCATTTACGAACCAAGTATGCATTTCTGATATTTTCACTTTCTAATATGGTTGGCGGAATTGACCTGTCAAATTTGTTCTTTGCTGGTTGGTGGAGTCAGGAGTGGAGAGGATGGATTATCGCCCTCGATGCATATGGTAAACAAATATATAATTAAATATCATCCACTTATATCACATCGTGCCATACTTTTATTTTAAAATACGCCAACGCTTTCGTTTCCTTAAAAAGATAAAACTTTTGAGAATTTCTTTTATCTTGGATGAATTTAAATTTGATATTTTGTTTAAAGAATGTTGTGTAGAAAATAATTATATAAAAGATAGTCATGAGGGACCGCAATTATTAAATTTAAGGGCCAAAATTGCACATTATCTAAAATAAATAGACAAAAATTTAATTAAAGAAAACACAACAAAGTAAGATTGATAATGCATCTTCGTTTCATTATCTTTGCGAATGGACTGAAATACTGTGCATTTAATTGAAATATAAATAAATATGTTAAAATTAATTTAGCTAGTAACTTGTAACTCAAGGGTATGGCCCGATTCATATAGGCCAGCCCACTTAGCTTCCAAAACAGGCTCCATTCATTCCAATTACCTTTGTAAATATTAAAAGATGGGCTCACAGATTCTCCAACTCACAAAACAGAAACATATAGCTTCTAAAAAACAGGACTAAGAAAGACTTCTAAAAATATTAACTATCAATGTTTAAATATCTATAAGATGTAGACCAGAAAATAACAATAACAATAAAATTACCTATAAGACAATAAAATAAAAGGATCACATGAGACACGGGGGCTGGTTAAAGTTTATAGCTAGGTTGTTTTTTTCCCCTTCAAGGTATCATCTAGTTAATAGGTAGAGATGACTAATTCTTTTGAAGTGTCAAATGGTGAACCGATCAGGTAACTGGTTTTGTCGACTTATCAGATAAACTATGCATGTAAATTTGTATGAACTAAAGTAAACTGGTCTTTAGCTAGTGCCAACTTGTGTAGTTGAACTAATTTTAGAAATTTTAATTACTTCATGCAATAACAACTACTACACTAAAGCACCCGCTGGCTATAATACTCCTCTAATTACACGTCGATTCGCAACACGTAAAAGTTGCACTTTCAACAGCAAATAATATATAGATAAACCATTAAAGTGACATGAACATAGATTAAAAAAACAGCTATCATGAAGGGTGAAACTATGAGTAGTTGATTTGAATTATGCATATAAATAAAAATTAATTAATACACGTGTGTCCATGAACTAATGTAACATAAGCTAAAAGAGACAACATGAAACGTTGGTATTGGTATGACAACTCAGTTGTCGTAAGTGCGACACTCATCAGTCTCAGGATTGTCCTTGCAATATTTCTCAAGTGGGTCAGCACTCTTCTGCTTGTCCCTTGCATGGCTCGCCGCCGCGCTCAGCTCCTCCACCTCATCCCACGCCGCCACGCATTCTCCACTTTCCGCGTCTCCCGAGCATGCCTCCTCCGCTGTCTTTATGCTCTCTGCCACCTTCTCCGATATCTTTTCCGGAGATGCCCGAATGGGCCGCAGGCTCACCCTCTGGCCCGGCCCAAAAATTCCGGGCCACCTTCGGCTGAGCCTAGAAACTGGTGCAAACCTGATGGCTTGGGCCCTTTGCGGTGAGTCTGAGCCCTTGGCAAGTACTCTATGAGAAGGACTTGAAATGCTCACACCGGCTATTGTTGCCATTCTTCTCTTTTCCTTTTTGCTTTTCTTCTCTTAGCTGCTTTTAGTGACTACGGTTTTTGAAAGATGTAATGAAGATGTTTCGTGGAGGGATAGGATATAGGTTAAGGGTTTGCTTAGATATATAACCAATGCTGGTGAATATTTGTGTACGCATATTACTTATCTTTTGACAACCAGTTGTTACCTTCCACGTCGAACCCATATTAAGATTTTTCTTTTTCTTTTTTTAAAAAAGAAAAGACAATATCTTGGTAGCACTTTGTAAGTTGTAACTATGTAACTTGGGTTTCGTATGACAGAGAAGTTCTGGAGTCTTTAATTGGAATAGTCATAAAAATCTTGATATTTTGCTGGTCTTTTAGAAAAAAGGTTGTTTGGACGCTAAAATATCAAACGTCCATCAACACGCCTTTATATTTTAGCCAAACAAATGTTTCTGTTATTTACCGTAAAATAATGCAAACAAAATAGTTAGAAAACGTCATGTATAAGTAAACATACACACTTATTAGACAAAGGTTCTTGACTGGCCTGTGTATTTTGGGACACGTACATCTTAGATCCCAACTACAATACGCGAATACATTAAGCGTGCCGCAGCAGATGACCATTGATAATATTTTCAGTGACAGCAGAGAGAAATCCTTACAAAAGTAAAGTTACTTTGACTTTAAAAAATGCACTCTTTAAATATAATTTTATTTGAACAAATTAAACTAAAAATTTAACCTTAGTTCGTTAAACTTCAAATCATAAATTAACCAAATTGAGAATAATCACAGGTCACTCAAATCACATGGCAGTAAATGCGGCCCAGACCTTGTACACATCACCCGTCACATTATAAGATTCTAATCATATGCCTGAAAATTACTACCTATATATAATGCATAACGGTAAATAGAATCATAATTTATAAGCCGCAGCTGGGTCCCCTGCTTGCCAAAGTTAATGTATGTCACGCAATTTAATTAATTTATAATTTGATTGTTTTCTACTTTTATCAAATATCTTTTTTCACAAGTAGAAATTTTCAAGTTAGAATATATAATAAAAATAAATAAATAAAATTTTCTTTCTGGTACACAAGACACTTGTATCCACTTTTTACCAATCGGTTGATTGCCATCCAGGATTATCTTTCAAGCACACAAAAAAGCCCCTTACGGCTATTTCATTAATAGTATACTTTTTCCCAAAACAAGTAAACAACAGAACCAAAAATAATGATCCGAAAATCAAGTAGGCATTTCAAAATGCGTTTGCGATTTTTAGAACTTAATTTTTTTGGGCGGGTGGGTACATAATCCAAAAGCACCCATGTACAGTGTGTACGACGTGTTAATCACGGGACAAATAATTCATTCATTTTAGAACTAATCCCCAAAGCTGCAGTCTCGATTTTACGGTTCCGGCCAGACCTCGTTACAAAGCCTTCGTAGAAACTGGAAAGTCATTTATGAGACTTCAGTCAATTATAAAATATTACTGTGTATTTAATTTTACATTAGAATGCATATGATCTTTTGTTTAAAGCTGGTAGTTGTGCCAGAAATAGTGTCATAATACTCTTTATAAGGGTCTCTAAAGTCCTACATCTATGAGCTTGAGAGCAAGTTAGAATCAAGTTTCTTAAGATGTCCAACCATGACGGGAGAAGTGGGTTATAACGTTTCACATTGGCTAAAAATAGAACCAAAATAGTCCTTATAAGAGCTTGAGTAGTTTTCATTTTATAAGCTATCTTTTGAGAGTAAGTTAAGTCTAAAATTTTTAATATAACTCACCTATAGACTGCAGTTACGAAAAATAGTCCTCAAATAGAGACTGGTCTCCTTTACACGCTGGTTGTGGAGCAGACAAACCTTGTAGCATCTTTAAAACACATTCATCTCCAGAAGTCAGTCTATTAAACAAGTAAAAAACCCTACGCTCATATGACCGTAATTTTTTAAGTGCAATTTTAGGTTCTAGTTGCTCTGAAAAAAAATGTAGCAACGCAGAGAACGTGGAGTCAGTTCCAAAATATTCCCATTAACAACCCACTCGCCTAAAAGGATAGACTATTTGTTAAAAATTATTTATCAATTTATCAAATTTCTAACACAATTCCTTACACAACACAAAATCCCTTGGGCTGGAAACATAAATAATGTCCATTTTAAGTTGTCTTAAAATCAACTATTTATTAGACTAATGAGATAGTAAGGACGAACACTCCATACCTTGGTCAAGGAAACTCTAATACAACGTCAGAGACCAACTCTTAAAGGCCTAAACTGTTTGGTAAAGGCTTATTAATAACATGATTATATCAGTAATATCCCTTATCACCAAAATTGGAACATAACATTTTCCCCAAAGTAGCAGGACGAACATCATGGTTAGCTTCTATCACTTAATGGAGGGAGACTGATATCTTAGGGGCTAACCAAGTGTATGAGGCCCCCACCAATTGTGGTTTGAAGAGGGTGAATATACAGCCTTACTACAGTAAGTGGAGAGGCTCTTTTCCAGTAACTGCAGTCACGAGGCAGCAACCTTGCTAATATACCAAAGCTCAACCTCCTTGAAGCCATATATTATACAAAGAAATTTACAGTTCAAAGTCCAGCAATGGAATATATCACGTTTTCAAGGATTTTATATCATGGATGAATAGACGCCGACTTTTGTAAACCATATGCTAGTACTACTATAGTGTAGAAATTAATGGATTAGAAGGAAAGGAGAACAGAAAATATATATTTCGAAAAAGATACTGAAGTTGTCAGAAAATACAGACCTAAAGCTCGTATTTATAGAACTATTCTATGTCAAGAAAAGTGCAATGTAACTAGTACAAGGCCAAACCAGTAGCACGTGCTAATATAATAAAATCTTAAAAGTAATGATCCTACTATTCTAACAGTGATACCTCATTTATGATGTCAAAACTTGCAACTTTCAAGAGGTTTTGATTTAGTTGTAAAAATAAGTTACCAAATCTACAGAGTGAAAAAAATAATAAGAGCATACACACTTGTGCAGCAACAAGAAAATAACCCAAACATGAAATAAAACATAACTTCATGAAATTTCTACAAGCCAACATAGTCCTCGATCAGTGCAAGAAATTTATTCTTTCAATCTCATAGTAAGTTGGCTCATTTACATTTAAAGAGCCACTTGAATATAGCAGGGAAAAAAAAAGCCTATAAATGGAGAGCATAGGCACAAAGCAAGACCATTTTCACTCTTCCTCTGCAATAACACTAATCTCACCTTTTTCCAGTAAATCATAGAAGGTCCTCACTTTCCTTTGTTCATTCCAGTGATGCATCTTCCAAACACTGCCAGCAGCTAAACCAAGTGTTATTCCAATTAGTATCTCCTTTACCACGCTTGGCCCCTTCAAGGTAGCATGAGCAATCCTAGGACCAGCCATTTTCTTCTTTGTCTTTAAGCTTGAAAACTCTACAAGTTGCAGAACATTGAGTTGTAAATATTTAAATATATAAAACTTGGATACAATTCACAAAGGCCGACCAATCTTTAAAAAACTATCAAATAAAATCTCCGGAATTAAGGAACACAGGAGCCATTGCCCCTCTGAGACACCCGACACTGTCTGTGTCACACCCTTAAAAATCAATTGAAAAATTTAGGAATGCGGAACAAATTTTCGCCTCCGGTTAATTACAGTCTATCCAAGAAGACAAATCACACATGTTGACAGTTGCATTCTCAATGAAGACAAGCAATTTTACAATGACTATTGGCCATTAGAACGAAATTGAGCAATGAAACTTATAGCTATGAATTCTCAAAAGCAAGCACTATACTTAAAACACTGTTCATACATACGAAAGTGTCAACTCGGCACAGCTTCGTTTGGTTTACTAATCTTTCTGTGAAACCAAATCGTGTCTCACAGAAAATCATACAAGGCGTCCCACACAACCCAAAACGCAAATAGAAGACAAACATATAAATTACTTCCCTAAAAAAATAAAGGGGGCCCCCGGGGGGGGGGGGGGGGGGGGAGGGAAGCTATTTTTATAACTTTTCTCACCAGATTTGATAATGATAAACATCCATATTTTCATCTGATAAAATATTTTAATGTTTTAAAACTAAAATTTCATTCCGAATCCAATTGTCATATTTTACCCCCAAAATTTCCTCGTAAATCGAAGAGATCAACAGAATGGACAGGAATTTTCTCTCAGAACATAACATAAGAGTGCAATAAATTATTACAGCTATAAGGAAGAATAGTATAACAGTACGGTGCGTGCTGTGTTAGGGTTTGAAGATCTATAATGCAGAAATGAGAAAACTCACCAGAGACACAAGCTAAGATAGTCGTCGATGGAGTTCGGAAAAACACACGTATTGATGAGGCATCCATCTAATACCTACGAAAGGCCAAGGGCCTTTTGTGGGCCCATCAAGCCCAACTATTTTTGCGTCTGGACTCTCATAAATTTAGGCCTGTCATCACCAAATTTTTTATTTACATGTGTTTGTCATGAAAAAAATATTAGATGTATTGCGTCTGGGCTCACATGAATATAGGCACTTCGAGCCCAAATGCTATTGCCGCAGTCCTGTTATCTAAATATTTAATTATATTAAATTTGGATTAAAAGTTTTATTATGGTAAGGATAATATTAACAAGTATCTTTAAAATATTGATTATGAAATTATTGGTATATTAAATTATTTTAAAAACGAATTTTAATAAATCTCATATCTTTAATATAATGAATACTGATATTTTTATTTATGGATCTACTGATTACCATCTATTCAATGTCGTTATTATTAAATTATGAATATAGGACTATATTGAATTAACATTAGCAGATGCCTTCCTTCCTTTATCCATGTCCTATGTTAACTGTTTTTTTCTTTCACTTAAATTAATAATGTTTAAAACATTAGTCTTTTAAAATTAAATTAAATAGAACTAACTTAGAGTAACAATACTTTCAAATGAATATTGATATTTATGAATATAAAATTTTATGTGAATTTTAAACTCTAACGATTGAACATTGAACAATGAATACATCGTAATTTGTATGTGCAAAATCTACCTTGTATTTTTTTTCTTTTCGTGATAACCCACGTACCTTCTTTTTTTGTTATAAATTGAAAGTATTTGAGTTGATGGTGAGAAATTAATTATTTTTAAACATCAAATTGCCTGATTTATCTCTTTTAATAAATTTTTGATACTTCTAATAAAAAATTAAATGCTCTCATCACATTTTAAATACTTAATCAAAATATACGTGCTTTTTTTCCCTCTTTTAATTAATCATCCAATAAATAAAAGAAATTTTCTTCCGTATGTCATGTAATCAGCATTCACACTTTAATGTATTTTGAACGATACAAAATAATAATAATTATTTTTATTAAAAGTTAAAATAATTTATAGTTTTTAATAAAATTCTGTTATATATAACTTATAATTTTATAGCATTAGATACGTGTTAAAAAATTAATAATTAATAAAATTTTATTAAAATCCATATCATTTAATATTATTATATATTTTTTATGCATTGAATCTAACGCCTTCAATAAAAAAATTATTGTATATTTTGAATATACATTATTAAAAATATGATTTAAGTAAGATCAATAAATGCTCTATCTTCTCTTATTTATAAAAAATAAGTAAATAATTTATTAAAATTGATAAAAAAATTACATATCATTAATTTATATTGTAGTTTAAAAATATCTATAATAATAAAAAAGTTATATATTAAAAAAATCATTTATGTTTATTTATATAAATATAAATTAGTATCTCATTAATATAAATTTTAAATAAATAAAAATGTTAAAAAATTAATACCATTAATTAATAGTTTAAAAATACGAGTTTATCTTTTATAATGTAATAAAAAATATAAACATATATAGCAAACAAAAAATATAAACATAAATTTAATACCATACCCAACTGCCACCTAATTGTTGTTTATGAGTTCTAAATTCCAATTAAATAGAATTAGGAGTTTCTCTTTGCAAATCCACAACTCAAACTACACTTTCGCTCCGTTCTTCAATCTCTCGCACACACGCAAACACCGAAATTCTCTCTCTTTCTCTCTCTCATGGCCCTCTCTCTCCTCTGCTCTCCGAAATTTCTGACCCTACTGCTACTGCTTTCTGCCATACCCATAGGAATCATCGTCACTTTGGAGAGAGCTCAATCCCCCACCCACGTCTATCACTATCACAGTTCTGGATGGTTCAGAGAGTGCGCTAAGTGGGATTCTTCTCACCGCCGCTTCATCGTTTCCTTTTTCGAAGGTGGTATCGGCCAGGTTCTTCTGCCGGAGAAGGAGGACTTGACGTCGCCGTTAGAGGAAGTCACGGTGGTGAAAGAACCCCAATTGGCCGGAAATGCTTCTCTGGGTATTGCCGTTGACGTAGCCAGAAACCGTGTTCTGGTTGTTAACGCTGACGTGTTCGGAAATCGATACGGTGCGCTTGCAGCTTACGATCTTTCCACTTGGAATCGCCTCTTCTTTACCCAACTCGCTGGTCCCAGTAAGCTTCTTCACTCTGTTCTTCTCATTCATACAATGCTTCTCTCTCTCAAACTAAATCTTTTTTTTTTTTTATTTGATGGTTATTTGATGTTTGTAATAATTTTGTGTATAATTTTCGATGTCTAAAATGAGTATATTTTTATCTAATAATTAAATAAATATATATATTTTTTGTTTCACGCACTCGTGAGTTAACAATCATACACTTAACATCTGATTTAATTTCATTTTCAATTAAATAAGGCGTGTTGTTGAATTGGATTATTGTATAAAGCTGAACAGTGCAAGATGCTCATTTGCGAGATTGGACCTCCACGGTGGTGTTACAGTTGTATTTATTCACACTTATTTTACTCTCTCTCTCTCTCTCTCTCTATATATATATATATATATTTTAGAGTACAAAACGTATCTAGACGGTCGAATTGCTCACTTTTTCATGGCTTTTATTGTTTTTTAATGCTCGGAAATTTTGTGTTCCTTTTCAACCTACATAAAAGGTGAGAAAGTTATAAATATCACTGTATGTCTTTTATATTAGAATATTTATGTTTATTATTTTTATGAAAAATAATTTAAAAAATTCAATAGGTGTTATGGTGCCAAGTGAAAAATTTACAGGAGAGGATCTGCTCCCAGTTAAGAGCAAAGGTTCAAAGATTGGACAACTACCAATTTTTTTTGTTATTATAAATTAGCAACTATCTCCGTCTTACCGTTTCATTGTCATACCTAACATAATTTACCTATTAAGCACCAACCATAACATGTCCTGGGCAATGCCAAATTTTTCCAAGCGGATTCCTATTTACTTGTTCAGATTAATATTGTTCAAGTATGCACAAACACACATCTTTAACAGCTTTATGATATTTTTTATATATATGTTTTACCAATTGCAATATTATCTTTTGCTCCTTATTATAATAGTAGTTTAATAAAGTAAAAGTCCTTTATGGAAGCATATCCTCTCTCGTCAAATTTTCACTAGAAATCATCAGTCATTGAAATATTTAAATTTTTTCATAAAAAAAACATAAATATTCTAATATAATGAATGGGTAGATTTTTCAAAATTTTCACTGCAGAAGATCCATGCCCGCACTGCACTATCTAGTTAGTTCATTTAATTTGGGACAAATGATATGCCAATGGCACATCAATGCCACAAAACATATCTGCAAATGCACGAGTCTATTCCAGTGTCAGTGCATGAAAAAAAAGGAAGAAAGGAAACATGTGGATGGTCATCATGACCCAATGTATGAAGTCATGAACCATCCATGCCAATAATAAACCAAAGGGAAATGGCCTATCCTCGTTAGTACCTGCTATAGCATTATATTGTTGCCTCTTAAATGATGTCCTGTTATATTGTTGCCTCTTTAATGGAGTATATCTCTCCGATTGTGTTAGCTTAGGTATAGCTGGTGAGGTTGTCGTGACATTATGTCATTAGTAAATGTGCAATTGCATGTCCTATATATATGTCAGTTGTTTGTTGTAAAAATGTGGGTTAATTTTCCCGTTGGATGCAGGTGATGAGAAATCTTTTGCAGACGATGTTGCAGTGGATGCTGAAGGCAATGCCTATGTTACTGATGTAAAAAGCAATAAAATCTGGAAAGTTGGGGTGGAAGGGAAGCTTCTATCAATCATTAGAAGCCCACTGTTCACTGCAAAAGAATGGTACAGGAACTTGTTTGGACTAAACGGAATAGTTTACCACCCAGATGGGTTCCTGATAGTGATTCACACATTCAGTGGGAATTTGTTCAAGGTTGATTTAACAAAGGGAGAGGAAGTGAAATTGATAAAGGTAAAGGGAGGGTCCCTTACTTTTGGAGATGGGTTAGAACTACTATCTCCAACTAAGTTGGTAGTTGCTGGGAATCCTTCTGGGAGATTAGTGGAAAGCTCAGATGGGTGGAACACAGTTTCAGTGGTTGGAACATTCGCAGGGCCTAAGCATCGCTTGGCTACAGCAGCAACTGTGAAGGACGGGAAGGTGTATTTGAACCATATGGTTGGAATGGGATACCCCAAAAAGAAGCATGCTCTTGTTGAGGCAGTTTTTTAGATGATACTCTAGAGAATTCAACAGTGGGGAATAGGGGATACGGGGATCATACATTTACAGAAGATTTGGTGTATCTTCGCTTATTTATGTTTGGTTTTGTTTCGTTTCTTGTCCTCAATGGTTTCCCTTGAATCTGTCTCTGAACCTAACATTTGGATTTTAAGAAGCTCGCGTAGGTTACCCTGTTGTCTTGGGTACATCCCAACTGATCCAAGGCCTTTCTTATTTCTGTTTTGGGTGATCACTGATAGAAGGCATGATAAGCACATCTTATGGTCTATATAACAAGTTTTTCTTAAATTATAAAATTTTTATTTTAATATGCCAGTATTTAACACATGTTTAATGTATTTTTATTTAAAAGTTTTTTCTCAAAACTTTGTCATGCAATTCAAATAGAAAACAATTCGATTTGGGCTCCGCTAATCGGGCTAAGAAACCCATTTTTTTTTGTAAAGGTAATAAGGTCAATATAATATTTAATATATTGTTATTATATAGAATAAGATTTTTGCAAGGTTCATGCCATGCTTTACTTCTTTATTTATTCTTCTTTTCTCTAAATGTTTAATTATACTTTAAATTATTTGATTTATATATTTAAAGAAATTAGGCTGTTAAAATAGTTTTTATTTATATATTTAAATGTTATATTATCATTTTATATGTTAGAAATTTCAATAATCAAAGTATTCATATAAATAAAGTAATTAACAATAAAGTCGAATTATATAAGTTAATGTAACATAATATTTTTTATTTATTTATATGTTTACATCATGTCATTCAATAAATTTTTGGAACATTGACATAATTAAGTCAGTAAATAAATTATTTTTATACGAATTATTATCATGTTAATTCACAACATGCTATCATGTTTATGACGGGAATCGTTTGCAGTTTCTTAACAAACTGTCATCTCATTCATCAAAATTTACGACAAAAAATAATCATAAAAAATAATTTTATTTTATAATTTTCAATTGTTACATAAAAATAAATAAAAATCCCATGGGCGAATTTCAAACCTTCGCACTCAAATTCCATAGCTTGCAGATTCAATTTGGATCGTAGAAGATCCTAATCCCACGTTATATAATTTTAAACATAATTATTTTATTTTGAACAATCTTAAAAATATATCTATTTAATCATATTAATTAATTGGTGAATTATATTAAATATTATAAACTTTTAAAAATATCAGTTATTAATAAATCAATTAATTTCTTAATTTGCTTATATATACATAATTTTACACTAAATTATTATTTAAATTTATATATAGTATTAAAAATATCATTTAATTATCACCTGTCTAACTATTGACCTAAAATTAATATGTTCACTTGTTTAATTTTAAACACATTAACATTAATAAAATATTAAATAATTATAGATTGCATACAACATTATAGATATGATTTACATTATAAAAATCACTAAATAAAAAAACTTAAATATATTGATTGAATTAATAAAATCTAGTTTTTATGAACAACTGCAATAATAACACTGAATCAAATAACACGTACACTGGGAGGATCTAGTGGATAGTGACTCATTGCAACACACTGTGTTCCACATCTAGGACAGAGCTTGAAATCTTAAATTTATTTTTTTATTTAACAAATCATATAACCTCTATTTATATTGCATATGTGATCTAGTAACTTGGATGGCACATATCGCGAAGAGCAAAACCAAGTTATAGAACATGGATCACGAAATGTTATGCCTACCATCCGAAACGAATTTCTATACTCGTGTTCCCAACTGCTAGTGTAGTTTCAAGCTTATTGCTCTTAACATTGATTTGCTTCACGCCTTCCTTCATCTCTTGCTCATTTTTATTGTTTAGACGTATCATCATATACATAATTTAAGGCATATTAACATTTGGATTGCATACCAATTATTAGTTTCCTTCTTCAGTGACAGTTGATCTTGAATCTTTCCCATGGGATGTCACAAGTTTGTCGCTGTTGAAAATATATAGTGGTAGAAACCAAAAATTTGTACATGCTGGACCGTGGTCCAGGCTCATCAATGTGATTGGTGTTTCTTTGCTCTGCCTTGAGGAGCTGCTGATTCGTCTCTCTTGGAACCCTCAGGTTTACGAGCCCATGGTGGTGCTTGATCTGGACCATACCGATAATCGTAGAAGAGCTCCTCACTAGCATCAATGTGTTCCTTGGCGAATATGCCTACTCGGTGATCTCCAGCAACCAGCATTACCTATGCCACAGGTACAAAGAGATCAACCATTGTGACAATTCAAAGATCAAGTTCAAGCCACTGAGCTCGAAGGATAGTTTTAAAGCTCCCCAAAACCTGAGCTTCTGAACTCACCTTCGCGTAGCAGTTGGGGTTTGACGAGTGGTTTGCAAACTTCAACTTGTCTCCTTTGCGATAAGCATCAAGAACGTACTGTAAAGAAACAGATAGCAGCTTTCAGGTCTTAAAATAAACAGTTTGAAGTGCGATATTGTTATATAGCTTGCCATGAAAGAAATGTGACGGAATAAGCAGATTGACGAAACAGAAATATAATAAAACAATAATATACGACTCAATCTCTTACAAATTACAAAGAAGCTCAACTCAAGAAGGGAAGAGCTAGAGCAGCGCAAGATAAGAGAAAATGTAGATGTGGAACCCTTGCCTGATCATTCAAATCAAAAAGAAAAGACGAGTTTGCACGATCATATATTTTCCCACGCTTATCAGCTTCTCGGTGAGAGATCAGTTCACCTGTGTACTCTCCTAGATAATCATTTTTGTTAACTGGGTTCTGAAATATCATATTATCAATTAGTGAGGCGAACAAGCTGATGTTTTTAGAAAACAAACTAATCTATTAATCATAACCTTCAAGAATGCTCCCCATCCTGCAACATCGGACTTCGCTAAAAGAATCTGATAGACACAAATAAAAACAGTGTAAGATACAAATGCATGCAGCAAGCATCTCCATGATGTTGAATCGTGGGAATGAACAGCTGCAACTGCAGAAAATTTTAAACACCGAAGTTCATAATTACTTACCCTCTGTTGTTGTCTTAAAAGAAGCCTCATATTTCCACATTGGCCTTCTCCACGCCGAGGTGGCTCTCCTAATGAACCATCCCCACAACTGTATATAAAACAACCTTTTAAAAGCATTTGCAAGGATTTAAATGGACAGGGCACCGCAGAGCTCAAATAACAATTAAAAGAGGGAACAGTTAAAAACATTTTAACTGATAAAGCACTAAAGGGAATTAAAGTGGTGCCAAACAATAAAGCACTAGAGGGGTTCAACATAGAAATTACTCAAGGTAATCTTCAACCATCTCTTAGTCTTGCATCTCTTTTATCAATTATTGAATTCAATGAAACATAGCTATTAAATACTAATATTTGGAATGCATGCTGAGATTTGTGATGCACGAAGTAATCATGAACAAATGAATATTTGCTGAAACTAAAATATTTATATAAACCAAAAATAAATAAAATGATCGTGAAAGAGTTATTTTGTCATCTCAAGTCAGTTTTGCATATAGTAATGCATACCAGCGATCAAGAAGACAAGAAAGATTTACAAAGGTTTTCTAAATATACCTAAACAAGCAAAATAAGCAGATACTACTGAAATAGTGAATTATTGGGCGAAAATTGATAATTATGAATAATGGCTTCCTTAATCAACTGAAGTAATAGAACCAAGAGATATACATTTCAAAACCTTGGAGGCATAAAATCAAGCACACAGCAAAAATATTTGGCACATTACCTAACCCAGCAATTTCGACAGACATCTGGGTCACATTCACGTCCAGCAGCAAAGCATGGGCACTGTCGACTTCTGCATTGACTCTTGGCACAATGGCATCCTCTAAACCGGTTTTTGCAGCTTTTCGAACAACTGTAGGCAGAAGAGTAAATTTATTAGATTTAACTCATAATTTGCTAACAATTGCATTATTCAACCTGTAGGATAGTTCCAAAATTAAGTTGAGAAAGCATTTTGTAGGAGCTGAGAAAAAACATAAAAAGAAAGGAGTTTCTAAATAAAATAGTTTTATGTTGACATTTATACATCTCTAGTCACTCTGAAATAAATGGTCGTTTCTTGTTTTGTGTTTAAAGGCTTAGCTAACCAAGTAAAACCACATTTGACCATGTATCCAAATTAACCTTCATTATGTTATGACCATAGCCCCATAATTAGCTAACAAAATGAATCAAACAGTCTACATTACACAGCCACTAGAAATATGAAACATACTGCAATTTTCTCTTCCATTATATTAGTAGAAGGCGACACAACTAAACAAAAAGTGACATACCCACAATATTTTTCACAGCAAGTTCCACCATTAACACAAGTACATTCCTTTCCACACATTGATTGACATCCACAAGGTGTATACTGCTTGCAGGATTGGTTTTTCCCATCAGCAATTCTTTTCCATATTGATGGGTGGCCGGCAGACTTCCAAGAATATTTAAACTTCCTTGTTTTTCCTCTTTTCCTCAGCAACCGTGACCTAGATGGCATCTCTTGGTCCTAACATGAAAAGCCAGGTTCAAAAGAATCTTTTGGCATCTAAGTAGTAGAGAGCACTCATAGAGGTTGGTAGCAGTTGTCAGAGTAATGATTTGCATAACAATTTTAAATGCAGCAAGTTGAACGTTCAAAATGATACTTTTTCTTTAAAACAAACTGAAGAACTCATCAAACAGAACAGGATGATCAGGACAGAGGTAAGAGAGAAGAAAAGAATGTATATATGAAATCAAATGAGTAACTCAATCTCCTTATGTACAACCCAAAAACACTATTTATTAGGCGACTAAATAAAAAAGCTAAAAAAGCTCCTCCTACAATCAGAGATAATACATATTTTTTAAAGTTTGATTTCAAACCAGATGATTGAGATACCAATTCTACTATCTAGCAAAGAAATTTCAGAAAACAATGATGTTGGTTATATAATTTGTTTAAATAAAAAATTTGGTCATAAACTTTTGGTATGTTTATCCCAACAGTTGGGGTCTTCTGGTGTACATCTTATGTAGAAAATTTATTTCCTTTCTTCAGCAAGCCTCCCCCACCCCCAAAAATGAAAATAACAAAAGACAATCAAAACAAGACACTAGAATGTAGGATAAAGATGTAACAGGAAATCTTGTAATTCTCACTGTGCAATCTGCATCAAATTTCCCCTTGTCTTCCATGATTGAACTAGGAGCAACAATAGATCTGTGGGGCATTGACACTCCTCCTGAATGCATATAACTAGATATTTCCATGCAAGTCTTCAAGCCAGAAAGTAAGTTCCTTGCTATGAGGCAACTGCAGTGTACCAGACTTGATATCAGCATAAAATAAATTAAACATCTACATGAGATACAATATTTATGACAAGAAAATTAACTATGCTTTACTTTCATTTACTTATAAACCATTTCACGATTGGGGGAGTTACCTACAGAGGTTTCAAATTAATTCATTTTATTAGTTGCTATTTACTTGCAGTTTTGTGAGAATCAAGTGCTCATAGTGCATTCAAACTTCAGTAGTTATCATTGATTTGACACATTGAAAAGGCCACAATAGAGCCCAACACTAGGACAATAACAACAATGTTTTAGAAAAACAAAAACATAAGGATGATATGATTTATTGACAAAATATATGTTTATACATGTAACAAATTCAACTGCAAATTGTGAAAGAAGTTGTTGATTTCAGTACAGCAACTGAATTACTAGGATACAGTTGTTAAACCAAATTAGTAACGCAATTTTGTGATAAAGGTTGGGGTGGGGGGGGGGGGGTCCCTCTCATCTACATATTTAATCTTCCTTTTTGCCCACCTTTGTCATTTCCTTTTTTAGGAGGGGGGAGGTCAAGTGTACAATAAATTCTTCCTGAAGGTAATTACAAGACAATTCATTACTTTCTAGAAACAAAAAGCATTCAATTTACTTAGTAGATAGTGCACAAGGAAAGTGCAATTAAATGGGCAATTACTCAAGTTATTGCCTTTATTTTCCATAATTACTCATGTCTTCCAGAAGATCAATTACAAGTGAAGCCAAAACAAGTTGGGCTTTATGATTATTGACAAAAAGAAAAGAGTTACTTCCACAATGCAAAAAATAATAATAACAAGTAAAATAAAATAAAATTCTAACAGACAGTGGACAAAATGGGCAACATAAACATATGAAGTTATATACTGGACACAAGAAAGTGAGAACACGCACACACTATAAACTAAAGTTAATTCCATCCTTCTATTTCTCCAACATAATAGTGTGAGGTGAAACAGAGAAAGCTCCCAACCTGTTTCTGCCAAACATTTCCACTCCCTTCAAGTATAATTCTTTCTCTAGAGGCTTCCAATCAGAGAGACTAAGCATCTCATCAACATTTCCTTCCATTGGATTGGAGAACTTCAATTCTGTCTTATTTGTGAGATCTTTTGGTCCATCCCCAACACTTTCACCATGCTCACCATGGCAAGTGCTAGAAGAATCTGTTAATTTATTTGATATATCTTCAACAGATTTGTCCAAAATTGCACAAGTAATTATATGTTTACTTTCATCACATGCACCCAAATTTAGGTTCTTGCTATAATCACTATTTACAGTAACTACATCATCTGAGATTCTCTTCAACTTTTTATAGGAATTCTGAGAATCATCAGAAGGAAGTGTTGAGTCATATGGTGCTGTGTCAGACTGATCTGTGACCTTCCGTTTTACCATGCTTTCTGAGACAGGAACATTTAAATTGAGATATCCATGACAATCAACTTCTGTTGGAAAAGGTTTAGTACTCAGATTACTAGGTTCTTCTGTATTGGAGGGTGCCAATATCCCATCTTCCTCTTCCATAATTGTACTTTTCTTATCTTTACAAGATGTGGAAGTTTCTTCTGACACACTTTTGACAACCTTTAACTGCTGGAAATTGAAATAGCAATCAGTTTTAACACATTTTTCCCATAAAAAAAAATACAAGAAACGTTGATGAGGTGAAATTGTAACTAGGTGCAAAAGCTGGTATATGTTGAAACACATGTGCACACATAGAATCTGATTCTTCACCATATATGAAGTGTAAAGGAAGCCTTATTAAGAAACATTTCTCATGTCTCATGCAAGAATTTTCACCAGAATTACCTCCAATATAAATCAACAGAGCATAGAAATGCCACCATTATTGTATACTGATTCTATACTAATGAAAACATGCTAAACAGAATATCAGCAGAGGAAAAAATTGACTAAACCCATTTTCATATCTGTGAGAATTGAAAACAAGTAGAAGTTCTATTTTATTAGCTGCCTCAAAATATAAAAAATAATTAAATCTCAGGCAAAGAAGCATACCTGAAGGTAACATTGGTCACTGCATGGTTTCCTATCACCTTCAGGCTCAGACCAAACTGTCTGCTTTTCACTCTGAAGTAAGCCATCAAATTAACTTTACGGATGGAGTAACTATGGATTAAGTTGAAAATAGCATAGGGAATAATTACTTACAGGATATATTAAAGGTTGGGAACATCCGTGCAGACGACAGTCAAAAATCTGCTGAATAAAAGCAGAAAAGTATAGATGCACTCCCTATGATGATAATAAAAATGCTAAAAGATGATGCTTTAGTACGTACCAGGCACCGGCGACAGAAAAGATTATCAAAAGAATCTAACGCAGCACTCAGGCTTTTCTCTGGACTTACACCAACAGGAGATTCATATTCTCCTGAGGCTTCTGAAAGCTGGTCCAACCTACCTATATTCTTTTCCTTGATACTTTTATATCTCTCCTACATATTTTCACAAAAAAGAATATCCCAGAAAAAAAAAAGGCTTCTCAATATAAATTCCTTTGGTGCAATCATGAAGCATATACTGGTGCCCACAGGTTATTCTGGATTACCTGAATTTCTAAACTGGTTCCCCCAACAAATTGGCTAACAATATTCAATACCTCCTCGTTTGATCCATGTTCCTCGAAGGCCATCCTAATAAATTTAATATTCAAGACAGAAATTCTAGTAAGAGCGTTTGAATAAAAATGGAAATTATGGGCTAAAGTTTCAATTCAGTATTAAAAATCTTGTATGATCATAATTAAATTATTATTTTATGAACACTTGAGCAGCAAGTAAAACCATTGGAGCTCCACAAAGCATCAATGTTACTTGTTAATATTCATATAGCTAATGAGAAATGTTACAATCAAGATCAATTGTCCTTGTTTTATTGAATCTTCACAAATAACTGGACCTTCTTAAAGCAACTTTATCATCTCATTTAAACTTACCATATAACACGGTCTTCAGCCTCAGAAAATTCATGTTTTTCTTCCTCAGGTTCTGTTAACTCTTCCTCGCTGTCACTACATATTAGCGCTTCACTGCCATGTTGATCATAGTAGATACGTCTTCTTCCAACAACTGACTGATCCTCAGCCATTCTCTGATTTCTGATGTGTGTGAAAGATTTTAAAATAGAAGAAAATATGTTATACAATCTGCATACTCACTGATCAATAAGTTTTGGAATACAGTTGAAGCAGGTAGCTTCAATTTGGAAAAAAATTGCACAGCAGGCACCCTACAGGATAGAAAGTTAAAGCATTTGTATGTCAAAACACCTGTCCAGAAATATCCAAGATGTATATGGCGGTAATCTTTCAATGTATGGAATTTTGATACTTGTAGCAGATAATACATCTTGATTGCTGTGGTCTTTGTCTCCTGAACCTTGAGAGAAACCACTGAATTTACATAAAGGATGGTCAATTCTTGAAGAAAGTACTGGACAGTTCCTGTTTTCCTCTGTCTGTGAAGAGTCCCTCGTTGATATTTCTGACATGACCTCTGAAATATGACACTGTAGCTTCTTCTCATTCTTCTGAATTTTTTCCTGTAGAAATATAACTAAGGTTAATTTCGGACTTAATTGCAAGGTGAACCAAAAAAAGCCTACTCGACCTTGAATTTTACAATTAAATAAGTTCAAGTTCAAATTGGCAATCAGAACATAAAGTTGTTCCCAGAAACATGCTAAAGTAAAAGCTACTGCTGGAAGCTCATAGAAAGGATTCTCACCAATATAGCCAAACCAATCAGAATATTTACCACAATATAAAAGGTAATAGTAACAGTAACAGAACTGACAATTCTACAAAACGAGTTTGCAGAAAATAATAAATGTTAGCAATATAATGTTAATGCCATTTTTCTCAGTTAACACTAAAAGAACAAAGAAATTATCTGGCCAGCAAAGAAACTACAAAATAACAGAACCCTTTCCAATAATCAAGCTAAAGGATCACACACCCAGTCGCAAACTTACTTTGATGGATACAATTCTCTCCGCCTGAATTTGCTTTTTCAGCTGGTTTATCTTGACGGACAAGGTTCCAATAGCTTCATTTGCTGACTCTCCATATTGTTTCTGTCAATATTACAGAACAAACCATTACAGATAGACACTGCTACAAAAATCAAAACGCAAGATTACACAAGTTTAAAATACAAAAATAGAAACTCCAAAGACAGAATCCTCCGTTTGCGAATGAAAATGTTCAATTCTCACGCGATGCAGCTGAAGAAACATTAACTCGCATCGTTTTTCAAAGGAAATATAAAAAACAAAAGAGAGAATAAATTAGAGATTAAAGGTGATCCGAAAGCCCTACTCGCGAACTCAAACGCTGTAGTATCGAATACAGAAAGATAGAGGAACAAAGAGTTCTTAAATGACAACTCGTGGTTATCCGATTAAATTCAATATTCTAGGGAGTTAGTAATCAAATTGTGAAACGTAGTTACGGAAACGATTTGCGGAATCATAAAAGGAAAAGTGAATTGAAGCGCTTAAATGAGTTATTGTTAGTTATTGTTGAATTGAAGAAAGAAAGAGAAAGAGGGAGAAACTGACTCGATGCTTTGGAGCAGAGTCGGTAGGTTTGGACACCATGGATGTTGTGGCGTGGCGTGTGAGGGCCGATCAAAGGAAGAAGAAGGAGAATAGCGAGAGAGAAAAGCACTCCCTCACTCTCGAGTGTATGTGTGTGCGAGTCTAAGGAAGAATAGAAAGTAACAAACAGCTTTCGAGTTTTGGCACGTTTGGTGACATGGCCTACCGCAGAAACAAACGCAACGTAATTTTTGGTGCTATCTTTTACTGTGCCTTTGTGCAACTGACTAATACTAGTCACTAGTGTATGATACACTCTCTATCCATCCCCCCTATTTTGTTTATTATATTTTACGTTACTGCCTACGTTGTGGGAGCTAATTACCTTTCTTTGATCCTTTGGTCGTTTTGGACGCATCCTCTTCCTTGGGTTACGCCTTTTTTCTTGTGGCCCATGCCTCATGCTTTAGAATAGGATTTGCTGAAGCCAATTGTGTTGGTGCAGATTCGACTAGGTATCATTGCAACTATTCTAATCTATTCACTGTTCTAAAAAAAATGTATGATATTCATTGACGTTTAACACGACGAAGCAAGTTACAATTATGTCTGCAGTGGTGCTGTGTTGGGGTGGAATAGCATATAGTATAGTGCTGTGCGACAGAACGAAATTAATGTACCTTACCCTCCCCCACATTTATCATCTTGCAGTTTATTACGTTATTTTAACCGTTGAAAATTGATAAATTGTATTTATATAATAAAATTATATATGAAAAAATTGCTATTTTTATATGCTAAAAAATTAACCTTAAAATTGGATTAGTAAAGTCAATAACTTTATTATATGAATAAAACACTTCTTAAAAAAAATATGAACATAAGTTCAAAAGTCGTTACTCATGAAATTTAAACAATAAGTCATGCAGGTGATGATATCTTTATTTGTTATTTTATATTTATCATACAATTCAACAAGTAATTTTATTAAACTTCTGTTTAGTAAGATTAGTTGAAAAATTATAATTAGTTTATTTAATTAGTTATTTAACAAAATTACTTGTGCAAGTGCAACTAATTAAAATGTGTTAAATGACTAAAAAAGTGGTGAGATTATTTTGAGTTAGTATAAGTTATTTTAAAAATTAAAGGTAAGTTAAAGAAAAAAAAACTAGTCATTTTTATGTTATTGGATATATCAATTGGTGGATCTTTTTTTAACTTATATAATTTCTAATGAAATTTTTAATTCTAAAAATAAATATTGTCCATCCAAAATCTGATTGATAATTATGTTTAAAGAATTTTTTATGGCTAAGACAATTTTGTTTTAAAATCTCACTATCTTTTGACTTTAATTTTTGAGCATAAAATAAAAAATACTTTGAAGGGTTGAGTGGGGCCTTTTAAATCGTTTTTAAAGAACAAATATTTAATTATTTTTTGATAAATTAGTGTTATTTATCAAGAAATTTAATGATGAATTAGTATTATTTATCAAGCATGTTATATTTGTTTACATTTAAAATAAATCAAATATACCTTTTTTTGGGGTCAGATTGTTGTAGTTACTGAAGCTGCAAGGAAAGTGGGTTTCTTGGGCAAGTGAGCTTGGAAGAATTAGTAGGGTGGTCTTTGGGCCACAAGAACAGAGCCGGATCTGATAGGTGTTTTTTTGGCAACTCTATTTTTTTTTTTAAATTACATCATTTCTTTCTTAAAAAACAAAACATAAAATATATAAATTATTTTTTAAAAAATAAATTCCAAAAGCCACTTAAAACTTAATTACGAAAACAGACTGCGCATAAAAAATTATCTAATATATATTCAAAAAACCGAATGCCGAAAAGAAAGCGTAAGCGTTCAAGACCAAAATCATTAAATATGCCGAAAAGAAACCCAATAATGCCTTTAAAGAAATACATGTGCATTAATCATGTAATTTATTTTTGTCTTATTATTTATTTATTTTTACTATGAAACTATATATTTTTTAAACAATGAGGAATGATTAAATATGCTTGATTAATGGCATTTTTAATTCAAATAAGATTAGATTCATGTAGTATAGATCAAATTTCAATCCAACTAACTCAAGCTATATCAATTTACCTTATATTACATGGATCAAACAAGCCATAATGGGGCATATCAGGGATATTTTACAAATGAATGAAGCCCTCTCTCTCTTGGTGTGTGTGTGTATATATCTAATATAATCTCAAAGAAACTTCCAAGCTGAGATTGAATGAATTGGGGTCCCTTTCCATCCAACTGTGAGACACTTGGCATTTTTGTCAAGAGTGCAGAAATTCCCACAAGCAAACTTTTTGGCAACCAAGTTAGCTTGGTACAAAGATGACTCGCTGAGTCCAGTTTCCACCATTCTATATCTTGAAAAGAACCTCCTCCAAACATCTATCTTCACATTCCTAACTGTCCTTTCTCCATCTTCCATAGCAACAATGTTTCGTATCCCTTCAGATAATATTGTCTCAATTCTCATTCTGCACTCGTAATCCTGTTTCATGCAGGCCTCAATGCAGTCAAAATATGCCGCATAGAAAAACAATGCTTCAATAAAGCGATTCACAAAGGAGGGTGAATTATGGTTTGCTTCCAATTCAAGAATTATCATAATACATGGCCTGATTTTTCTTATCACCCGCATCAAGTTCTCCAAGGAATCACAATTTGACACCATAGTCCTCAGTATATATGGGGAGTAGATAGCCACAGCTTCATTATCTTCAACTCCAAATTGTTCTGCCTTGATCTCTATAATGTCAGTAACAAAAACAACCTTATATAAAAAGGGCAAGTTTAAGGATTCAGCAAAACTCATTAACCTTTTCCTGTCTCTTCTAAATCGGTCTTACCCTTAAGTCCTATGGCAGTTATCTTGAGAAGTTCAACTGGCTTTTCCTGCCTCTCTGCCAGTGCTTGCATCAAAGTTGTGCATAGCACCCCACATCCGATATCAAGGTTTATGAGATGGATTTTGGTTTGGGATGCAACATGTTCCACTATAGCTTGCACCCCAGCAAACTGCATTACTTGATTGAATGGAATTTTTTGATGGCACATAACAGCCATATAAGTATCCATTTTCAACTTGTCAATCAATTCCCTTTCTTGGTTTTTCTCACACCCCTTTAGTGTCATCCTTCCTCGTGTTGCTTTGTTGATTCTTTCTCGGAGTGCTAGAGCGAAATGAAAGATAACTCTCTGAACTGGGCTTCCACCTCCTAAAGAACTCCGCTGAAAATGGAAAAGGAACATGCTTGCACTTTCAAATTGTTGGCAACCAACCCTCTCAGCAGCCGCAAGAAGAACCTGAGCAAGTTCCACGTCTCTTTTTTCTTCCTCAGACAAACACAAACCAAACCAACATGGGTGCATAGGGATGCAAAAATTGTCATGCCATTGTGCTGAGTGCTGGATATACCTTGCTCCAGCCAATCTTATTATTTCTTCAGGACTCACACAAGTTTCAGCACCATTGATGATAATACTTTGCTTCCTTGGCCTCTTGAACCTGCTTCCATAATTGCTCAGAAGCTCCAGTGATGCTAAAGAAGATGGCAGATCCTGCTTTTTGTATCCAACCAGCTTTGAAGTTTCCACTCCCCTTGTTTCTTGAAAAGGAAGCTTTGAATGAAAGGCAGGTTCAAAGCTGAACTCTTCATCTAACATCAAGTTATCAAAATTGAAATCATGCTGCTGTTGCTGGTTTTGCTCTTCTGTAGTAGGAAGAGAATTTATCCCTCTCATTAACTCCATTATTGCAAAGAAACTGTGTTCCCTGTGGAAACACAACACCCTCTTTTATATAGCCGTAACCGCCCCGGAATCCATTGAAATTGAAAGGTGTAGAAGAAAAAGGATCATCACACCCCATGTCGTGTTGCAGCGGACTCTTCTAGAAGGGTATCAGCAACTTACCCTCGAGACAGTGAGCTTATCTAGATAATCATCGACATTGGTGTTTGCATTTTCTTCACTTATATTCCAAAACGAATATTTATTCGCATCAATGCTTGAAAATTATAAACTTCTTCATATGGGACATGGGAGAATCATGCACCTTCGATGGTGATATTTCGATGTTTTCATTAACCGCAGCCGTCAGCCAAACGTGTTTTGTCATTGTTGAAACAAATATAAGGATGAATACAAAACATGAAATAACAGCTCAAGTTTTAATTCCATACGTGTTCATAAGAAGTTCAGCCAAGAGTTGAAAAAAGTGATGGATGGCCTTTTTCGGTAAGGCATTGGCGGTTTCCAAGAAAGAAGCTCCAGTCTGAACTGGCCTTATCTTGAAGAAAATATATGAAGAATATGCTATGTATGTTACATTTATATTTAATGTACTCCTCACTAAAGTTCGCAAAAATGTAAACAAGCAAGTGTATCTAGAAAGTAAATGAGTGAATGAATACTTAATAAATTTTGTTATTATTTTTCTAAACAACTTTTAAATTGGAGACAAATTTTAAAAATTCAAATGAGGAAATTAATTTACCTCTTCTAGGATAAAACTGTCTAGGAGAGTCAAATGAAGCAAATCAAGTAAAGAAAAAGAGTAATTATTCTTTAAATATATATATATATATATATATATATATATATCTTCTTACTTTCTACACTATTATAAATTTATAAACTCTTATATTCAATCTAAATATTTTATTTAACTTACTTTTAACAGTCATTAAAATAATAAATTATAATCCATTAGATGTAAGTTAAATAAAAAATTTAAAATAAGTATAAGAATTTTTAAATTTACACTAGTATAAAGAGATTCTATCTCATATAATCTCTGATGTAGAATATATAAGATTCTTTTAATTATTTATAGAAATTTAAAAATATAATTAAATTTATAAAAAATTTAGATGATTTTTAATTAAAACTATTTTTAAAAATTATTGGAACCTATTATCTTTTTATCTAATTATTTATTTTATTTTTACTAAGAGTATTTTTGTAAAAAAAATTAATGCATTAAGAAATTTATATGGGATCTTATAAAAAAGACCATAACAAGCATTCTAAAGATCAAAGTTTGATTTAAAAAAAAAACCTCATAGTTGAGATAATTTAAGAAAGAGATACAATAAAAGAATAAAAAAAAAAGCATAGCCAAGATAAATAATGTGACGAAAAGAGATAAAAAAAAAAAGCGTTATAAAATTTTTGTAAATTTTGTTATATATATGTATGTAATTATTATTCAAGGAAGAATTAAACAAGTTATTTCTAATTTTATATATTTTTGAAATTCATGGCTAATTTTGTTCGGTCTAGGTTCAAACTTTGTACCCACCCAATCCATCAATCCAACTAAAACATATTTCGCAAGATGAAAAAAAAAATACAATGTATTGCGTCTAACGTAATTCACAGTAATTTTATCTAATTTAAGAAAATTGAAAATAGATGTAGTTTTTAAAGAAATAATAGCAAATATTAAACTTAATGAAATAATATTTTCAATCATTATTTTAAAAAAAAAATTATCGATCAAATTATTAAATATAAATTTTTCAAAAGAATTTCATTAACTTTAAAAAAAAATTGAAAAATTATATTAATAATATTTTTAATTTCTTAATCAATATTCTTAAGATATTAAATAGTATTCATTCTTAAGACAAAATTAATCAATACTCCATTCTCTCACTTTATTTTAACATATTATATCATTTAAAATATAAATAAATAAAAATTATTAAATTATATATCTAAATAATAAAAATTTTGATACAGAAGATTATTACAATAATATTGGAAAATTTAATTATAAAATTAATAAAAATTTTAATAAAAATTTTAAATAATATGTTATTAAATTTCATACTTAATTTTATTTGATTTCTTTCCTAATTAAATAAAAATAATTTAAAATTTTTTTATATTGCAAATTAGATTCCTTAGTAGTTGTACAGTTAATTTTGTCTACCACCATCCAAACACCAGATCCAAGAAACACGCCCAAGGACACCACAAATTTCGTACTCATTGGACCTGTGGAGGTCTTGGGCTAAAGACCCAGTGGAAGGGCCCAGCCAAAAATAACTCAAATAGTTTGCCTAAAATATCTTCAGTTTAATATAATATATTGTGATTTAAATTTTAAATTTAAACAATTAAAATTTAAATAATAATATTTTAAAAATAAGAATCAATAAATATTTAATATAAGTTATACAACTTAACGAGAAAAATATAGTTTTAATAATATCTTATGTAAAAAATAATAATTTAAATTTACAATATAAAAAAAATTAATAAAATATTTTTTAATCAATTCAGAACCCTTTTTTTTTATTTTTTGGATAAACTAATTTTAAGAAAGTATAAGAAGTAATTTATTTTTGCAGATTTTATAAAAGAACAAGCTATTTCTGGTTTCGTTATAATTGTAAAAAAAAACTTAATTATAAAGGATGGCCATAATTTTAAAATTTTTCAAGCATTTTTCGAAGATAACTTGTCAAAAAATTTAAAATAAAACTCTTTTAATTTATTTTCATAACTTTAAACAAATAATTTAAAATCTAAATACTTTTTTAAATATCTTAAAATAATCTTAGAATGGATTTTATATTCATAAAGCAACTCTATCTTCGATAGAGTACAATTAACAAGGCGTTTCTTGATCTCTAATATGACTTATACCACAAGTTACTAGTTTTGAAAACGAAACGTTATTTGTTAGTGAAGACTACAAGAAAGGTGTATGGCAAACGATATACATACATGAATACATTATCACAAAAATTATTGAACTTTAATTACACAAAAATTTGTGTAATTTAATTAAATATGCTTCATAAAAAAAATCAAAGAGAATAATTTTTTATTTGTTGAAATAGGTAGTTTGGATTCAGATTTGAGACGTGCTTATAACACGACAATATCATAATTTGTCGTAAGTCATGCACCATATTATTAAAATCATCCATCGTATTAATAACATCATTCAATAGCACGAATTGGAATTAAAGAACTAGGATCAATAAACTATATTAAAAATCAAATTATCCACATCTTAAGCAATAATACGTTTTCAACACAACATTGGCTGCGGGTTTGTTACAAATTTGCAAAGGTATTATACATTATTGCAGTGTCTCTGAGCAGAAAAAAGAAAAAGAAAAATACAGAATTGGTCAAACTTACACCTTGTGATCATTGTTCTGACTTGCTTCCAGAGGAGAGCTCTCTGTGACCCTTCTTCTACAGAGAGAAATCATCAACATCCAAATAATCCCCTTCACGATCCTCACCATTCCAATTGTAACAATCAAATAATACAACCACCATCCAACAAAATCACTCATTCCCACATCCATTGATTCCTCTTTCTTCTCTTCAGCCATAACCACCAACTTCTCCACCTCCTCCCTCAACCGCCACCACCACAAAGTTCCTAAGCACCCAGCCATACCCACCTTCTCAATCCATTTCTCTTCTCTTTTGAAACCGAACACCGTGTCATCCACCACGGGCCTCACCACCATTCTACACCAAACCTGGGTTGTCTCGTGCAGGCCCAATAAAAAAACCACCCTGCTTAACAGGCCTCTCTGAGGCCCAAAACTGGAGTCATCATCGTCGTAGAGTCCAGCTGCAATGCTTCCCTCAATGCCCAAACCAACGCAAACTTGAAACGCGCATAGGAGAATCCACGCTACGTAGAGTCGAAGTTGGAGAAGGGGCGATGACGAGTCGCTTAAAAGGGTGATTTTACCCATTAGTCCTTGAACCAGTGTAGTAATGCTGATGACAGCCACAAGAACATAGAGAATGCATGGGTTGATGTAAAGGGCAAGGTGGAAGACAAAAGAGAAGGGTTCTGGAGAGTGCCAATGGAACCATGTAAGACTTTGAAGAAAGTATTGGACACCTGAGAGAGTGGCTAAGAGTAAGAAAGAGAGAGGGAGAAGGAAGCCAAGAATGGTTATGGTGAGAAGATAGAAAACCTCTTTAGCTGTGAACAACTCTTTGGCTTTTTGCTTCCAACCCATTTGTTTAGAATCGATCAATGATGAGTTCAATCAACAAACAAACACCTCCTACCTCTTTATTTACAAGCCATGGGAACTTCAACGTTTAAGCTCTCTCTTTGTATGTGACTTAACAACCATTTTTAAAAAGTGGTTGCCACGTCCATTGTTTACTTAGTTGACATTTTTATAGGACATCATGGTCTGGACTCTGGATCAATCTTTTATTTATATATTAACACCCAATAAATGTACCATGAATTATATCAAATTGGTCGTTCTTTAGTTAGTTTATCTTTTGCGCTTTGGTTTGGTACAAATGGAATACTGGTTTGAAAATTATGCTGTGTTTGGCTGCATGTTTGACGGATTTGAATTTTGGAGGACTTCTCTTTATTTGGAAGTTCCGTGGCTCTCCCTCTTCGTTGATTAATTCATTTATCTACATTAGAAATTAATAGGATTAAACCTAGCCTTGTTTAAATTATTTCATAGGGTAAATAAAATGACTCAATAAATTTTATTTATAAAAAGTTAATACATTTTAATATGATGTCCTAACGTATACTATATATTTAGGACCTACTTATCCGAGCCTATAAACATTCCCTGCCGTGGGACTAACTCATGTACTCTAGTTGTTATCCTAATCCAAGTTGAGTTGAACAATTCATCAATTTGCATTGACATATAAACATTTGACATTCTGCATTTCTTTTAAATATAAATAGTTATTAATTTCACTCGGATTTACTAATAGATCAGTAATTAGTACGTATGGTTGTGCTGTTATTGTATGTCATATTTCTAGCTTTCAAATGTGTACATTTGCATGCCAGGATTTATCATGTTTGTTTATACTGTCATAGCATATTGTCTTTATTAATAGAAAATAGTAATGTGGCATATCGTTGTCTTGATTTTATTTGAGAAGGATGGCTGTCGTCATATTGAACCGTACGTGAAGTTACCATAAACATCAATTATGAACCAAGTTCCTTTTCTTTTGCACTGAATTAGTCATAATTGTGCAGTTGAAGTAGCTAACTCCGATGGGATTCGGAGTTAGTATCCCATTTAGGCATTTAGTTGGAATTTGGGATCTACACCAATTAGCATATAGTTTAGGCCGTTCGGTACAGAAAAATGGGAGGAAGAAAAATGATGTTGAATGCAAAATATTAAGACCCAGGTAAATCCAATTTTACTTATTTCTCTTTCTTACGTTTTACCAGACACATAAAGGTTGAATATAAATCAAATTTTGTGTGTTTGTGTGTGTAGTTTATTGTGCTCATTTTAAATTAAATTAGACTGATAATACTATGGAAACGTAGCAAAATGATTGTGAGAAGAACATTTCAATTTGGTTTGATCGATTGATTAACATGCACAGTTTTATAAAATAATATTCAGACTGTATAATTAGGAATCGATTGATTAACTGATTTTGATAGATTTTGATTTTTTTTAAAAGGAAATGTTCCATAATGAAGTAAATATCTCGCATAGGACATCTCTACTTTTGATATACGCAAATTTATAATATGATATAAAATCGATAATGGTATAACCCACAATTATAAGAAAAAGCTAATGATAAATAAAAAATAAAAGAAATTCTCTTGTATAAATCTTTGTACCAACTCGATGGATTAAAAAAGTCAGAACATGAGATGAAACTCATTTGACTTAATCTAAGTTAAACTTTTCCAGACCAAGTAAACAGAATTATTGATGTTTAAAACAAACTAAAGTACTAATTAGTGTAGTTTGATCAATTCATCAACACTGCTGAAGGCATTAAATTTTCACCTGTTTTGCTAAGGTGAAAAGAGCTTTTGTACTATATTCGTTGTCTCCAATCGCAATCCAACGGAGTTTAATATTTATAAGGAAACTTATAAGAAGGAGATCCGTATGGATTATTTATTTTTCTCTGCTACTTATAGATGGATTGACATTTTCTGTCAATGAACATCTAAAAATTAAGCTAAACAAAACAGCTTTGAATAACAAAACAAACACCAAAATGATTCATTGACAATTACAAATCTCAATTTTGGTGGAACTCTAATTCCCCACAAGACTCGTGATAAAAAATTATGAATTTCTTACCATCGTTTTGGATTTAAAAGTTTTGATATTTGCTTAAACTTTGTTATCACAAACTCTTTTCAGATTTAAGATAAACTTATATGGATTATTTGTACAGAAATAAAGGAATAGTTTGCAGAAAAACAAAAGTCAAGAAAGTATTATTCTCTATAAAAATATAAAAGGAAATAAAAAAAGGTTATGATGTTAGGTGGGGTGATATGGGCCCCGGTAGGCAAGAAACACAGGGTCTCATCTGACTCTGACTAAGATGCATGATATGCTATGCGTCCTGACATTCCTGTAATGCCAAATAAACTAACCCATAAGTGGATTTATAACCCAACTCATTACACTTAAAGGACGGATATTAGTGGTATCATAGCAGAAAAAAGTTATTTCTTTTAACTATTAAATGGTTTCAATATCAAACTATTTTTGTATAATTGTTTATTAATATTTATATATAAATAAATTTATTCCCAAATAATATTTTAATAATTCCATGATTAAATTATTTCGGATATTATCATATTTTAACAATTAGTTTAGAAACGTAACATCAAACGAACATTAATATTAAATAAAATGTAAGCTTCCTATGTTAACATGTTGACGATGGTGAGTGTCTGTCAGCAGTAGGTGACTTTCTTAAGCCTTAACCGTCAATGATGAATACAGATTTCGAAGAAGGTTGGTGGTAGTGAGAAAGAAGGAAGGTTGTCAAGGTTACAAACTAAATAAACTTTTTTGTAAAATCAGATTAATTTAACAAATCATGCAAAATTCAGAAATCAAATTCATAATACATTCAGAAGAATGGGCTCCAGTCCAAGTATGTACAAAAAGCCCAACTTATGTGAAATCCGTGACTACGTAATTTCTCGCTCTTCCGGTGTTAAAACATACTGATTTTATCTTAAAGAAAATGCTAACCACTGGATAGAATATTAAAAATAAAAACATTTTATTAAAAGTTATAAAAATACACACTCATTCTCATGTTTTCTTTAATACATTTTTTTTACATAATGTAAAATAAAAATTCACTTATTAATTATTATTCAATAATTTACATAATGGAAGGAGTGTAGGACTATGTTTACATGGGTAATGGGTAGTTTCTCAATTTACTTTTCAACGAAAAGTATTAACCAGAAATCATTTATTAGTTTTACATCTCCCGCAATCGCACGTGACAAGTTCATAAAGAATACAAAATTACTAAGTTCCCAACATATTCCTAGTGTCAATGATGACGTACAGTAATGTTAGAAGTTATCAATAATTTGACTACTTGCTAAAATCATTCCAAAGCCGTTGTGTTAGCACTATATGATATTTCTAGTTACATCATACATTATAGCACTAATCATTGTTGGCTAGTATCGTTTTCAAATAGTCTCAACACTATTATCCATTAAGGAACCTTATGTCAGTATAAACTCTAAAACAACAAATATAAAGTATCAATTTCACCTCATTTTTTGGCAGGGTTACAAAGATATCAAAATCCGTAAGAAGAAAGATCAGTTGAACTCAGCAATCAAAAACATCATTACAGTTTAACACTGTTTTTTTAAATTGAAGTGCAACAGTCAGTAGTTCAAATAGTAGCTCGATCTTTACCCTCTGCTGCAGCTTCTAATGGCGTGAGAGCTTTGAGAGGATTCATAATAACACCATCTATGAGTCCATATTCTTTGGCTTCTTTTGCACTCATGAAAAAGTCCCGGTCTGTATCCTGGTTAATCCTCTCTAAACTTTGGCCAGTGTGATAGGCGAGATATCCATTCAGATTTGCCTTATGATGCAGCATTTCATTAGCCTGAGAATTATGAATCATAATTAGTATTCTCTAACAAGAACTACAGATAAGCGTCACAAATTTATGATACTTGTGCAAAAAAGTAATGATACAAGTAAATCCTTCTGTCTCCCTTGGTAAGGTCATGCACAATATCACTGCAATGGGTGTTCATAGTCAATACTAATTGAAACTGTCTGATCCAATCCAATCTAAGCAAAGGCAGACTAAATCCGTAAGTATAATAGAAGGGAATGGAATATAAATAGCAGGATAATATAGGAAATAAATCATATGAATATTAGGAGTATGGAACAATATATTGTATGGATAGGGAATTCACCGATAGTATTTTTATATGTAAATTTAGGTTTAGTAGGGAATTCATTGCATAATCAGGGCATTCATCTTGGTTTAAATTATCACTAGATTTTAAGTGCTACCCTTAGACGGGCTTTAACTTTCAATGATAGAAGTATATAAAATTTTAGAACTAAAATGAAGTTTATCAAATAAAAAGGGGGAAATAGAGGCCCATACCTGAATATCTATGTCACTTTGCGCTCCTTGAGCACCACCAAGCGGTTGATGAATCATTATCCTTGAATTTGGCAAGCTGTATCTCTTTCCTTTAGAATTGAGGGAGGAAGGGATATAAAATTAGAAAGAAGCATTTTTCTGTCTTACAGAAGTGGAAATGACAATTACAAAATGGGAGGGTGGTAAGAGGAAAATGGATACCATGATTACAAGTTAAAAGAATCATTACCTTTGGTCCCTGCACTAAGCAGAAAAGCTCCCATACTGCTCATGAAAAGGTCTATATAAGTATGAATGGGAAATAAAATTCCATCGGAAAAAAAATATCAACGACATAGTCAACTATAAATCACTTTTCATTGTCAAAATATCAATATTGATGGGGAATTTTAATTCTTGGAATGCTAAGAATATTTTTCAAAGGTAAAGCCAAAGATTTTTAGTTAAAAAATTAGTTAATATTACCGTCAGCAGTCATGCCAGTTCCAAATATAAAAGGAAAATCACACAACTCCAATCCCCATTAACTTTTGCAATGTTACTTGGGAAGCGAAATATCGTAATGGAAAATTGGAAAAAGGCTATAATCCACCACCTGATAACTACCAACGGAGTATAATTCCTAAAATGAAATGCAGCAGACGTTAAATACAGAGGGTGACAGGGAAACTATTGGTTCTCAAGATTCACATTCAGCTACTCCTGAAGCCAGTGTGGACCCATTTAAAATCTATCATTCACAGATGCAAGGCCAGGCCCAACCCAAGATTAAATGAGCAGATGGATCTTAATTGGCCTTAGCAGGATAGATCTACCACAGATAGGAAAAATACAGAATGAAAAAAGGGGTAAGGGGTCAGCCATCCAAAATGAGGAAATCCAAATAAAATGTAATCATGTGTTTAAACATATATATATATATATAAAAGAGATATAATACATTGTGGAAGGGAAAATCTTAAGATAATTAATTATAATCATCTTAATTCTCCTATTATTCAGCTAAAATAAAAATTGCTGGCATACATCAAGATAAGATCAGGATAAGACTTTTAGCCCTCTACTGATGTGGTAACTGGTAACTTGTCAACATTAAGGTAATATTGCCCAGAAGAGGCATGAAACATTACCTAGCTGCTAATCCAACACAAACAGTGGATACATCAGGTCGAATATGACGCATTGTATCAAATATTGCCATACCTAAGAAAAAAACAACAAAGGACTTATTTAAATTTTTAAATGCTAGTATTTTTTTAGTCTGTGTAGATTGAATATAATAAAAACAATGCAACATAAATAGTGTTGCTTAAACAATTTATTACCAGCTGTTACTGACCCTCCTGGAGAATTCACATACATGACAATATCCTGTTCAACATAATAGAAATTGGCAGTTGACTAATTGCTTCCACAACAAAATTTTGATGTAACACACAAAAGGATAGATCAAATACAAACTCAAGATAATAATCACATAAAAATTCAAAATGAAGAAATACCAAAATATAAGCATTTGACATGTTCTCCAGAAATGCAAAGGATCCCACTTCATATAGATAAAGATATAAGAAGATAAAACATGAGTTTTCAGTTACTAAAAGTTAAGAACAAACCTTGTTAGGATCAACAGCATCGAGGTACAGAAGCTGAGCAACAATGATGTTAGCCATATCATCATCAACTGCTCCACCACAGCGGATTATTCTCTAAACACAAAAACAGATAATTAATACTGGAAATATTAAACAGAGGCTGAATACTCAATAGTAGTCAACAATATAAGGAAAACATAGCCTACATATTGGAAAAGTTGACTTATAACACTCTGGAAACGCTCCTGCACCATGGGGGGTGGCCCTTGTCCTTGTGCATAGGCAGGGAAATAGGGGGAAGATGGAACCTGCAAATCATTCCTTCGAGAACACTATCCAAGTCAATAAATAAGACAAAGCTAAAGGATAAAACAAATAACAAAATAAAATCTACCTTATGGACCAAATACCCTGAAGTGAACTCCCCTCAGGTGTCAAAAATTCACCACCATACACTGCCTTCACAGGAGATTTTTGAGTAATCTTTCTATTTTCTACCGATTTCCTAAGTTTCCTGCAAATCACAGCAAGGCTTCATCCCCTTCATGGAAATAACTATATTCAGGATAACAAAGAATACTCTAGTCTCTTTCACGCTCAATTGCCATAGTTAATGATTCAGGATAACTATGTATAAAGGGTCTTGCTGGGCACTTGTTAAAGAGTCAGTTAATACTTAATAGTAAGCTTTTATTGAAAATATAGTTGGGGTGCATTGGGAATCATCAGAGTGAGAGCATTTTTATGTTTTTTTTTTTTAATAAAATGTTTCTACTTTTATTCTTTAAAAACATATATATATTTTTCTTTCTAAACCACAAATATCTATGCAGAGTAAATCTTATTCGAGTTAGATAAAATCGCTCTGGGCGACGAAACCCTCCCTATGGTTCAGACTTTAACCAGTCAAAAGAGAAATTGAAGTACAAATAAAAGGTGGATAATAACAATTCAGGCTTTAACTAGGCAAAGTTCTAAAAACCCTTCACAACAGACCCTAAATTAATCATTCATCTTAAAAATAAGCAACTTCAAACCAAAAATCCTTTACTTTCACCCTCACCCACTAGTCACTACAAGCATAAAAATTTAGGGTCGTTTCCCACGAATCCTATGACCCGAAATCTCTAAAATAAATAACCAAACAAAAAAATAGCATCCAACACGAACAAATTGAAAAACCTCGAACTCGCAGATTAAAAAATAAAAACGCAAACTTTACGAAAAAAGAAAATTAACAGGAAAAAGAAGTACCTGGAGAGGGAGGGAAGAGAAATGTTGTGGGAGTGAGAAGAAGAAGATGGGGTAGAAGAAAGAGGAAGATAGTTGAATTTAAGAGAGGAAGGGGGAGCGAAAAGGGACGTATGTGCCATTGTTATTGGGTGGATGGAAGCTAAAGCTATCTGATAGTAATATCTATGCTTTGTTTTGCTTAACGAAAGGAGAAGAGGAAGAAGAATGACAGTGTAGTGTGTGTTGTGTTGGGGCGGAACTTGTCCACACTCAACTCCAAACTCATTCAAGCTATCGGTTTCGGATATACGGTATACCCTTGTACCTAGCAACTACTTCAAAAAATAATAACTAATACTTTTTTAAAAAAATTTAAATAAATAATGATACATATTTTGTAATTATTTTTAAATTTAATAGTAAACATTTGTGGCAAATTACAATAAATTTAATTTTTTTACAAAATATATTCCGCAATTAAAATTAAATAAATTCATAAAATATTTATAATGTCTCATTCTCATATTTTTACAATGACGGATTTAAAATTTTGAATTTGATTCCCAAAATTTATTGGCTTATATTTAAAACATGGCTGGGGATATATTTTTTTAACTTAGAACTGCATGAAAGAATACTTACTGGTTTAATTTATAATCGAGTAAAATCATTTTAAATAAAAAAAAAATTTAAATTATTAATTTCTTTTATTCGATTTAATCTAGATCTGACCCGAGTTGCATTTGAATGTGTAGGTGAGTTTATCATTAAAATTTTGTTACATACATAAAAATTTAGATTTAAGACTTTATTTAAATGATATTGAATCGTTTGCTTCTCATACCAAATTCTTTTAATGAATTATTAAATATTATTAAAGTATAGATATATAATAATCTAAATTACATATTTTTATTAAAATATTAATTTTTTAATTTTTAGACAAATTGACAACTCCTAAATCTCACAATTTAACAGTGAAGTACAAGTTTGTTATACTAAACTAAGGAAAACTACTATCAAGATTAATGTTCTTGCAGTATTGGTTAAAAAAATTAAAAATATTATTAATGTATAAATATAATAATTTTAATACATTTTTTACATTATTTTTTTTAATTAATGTCAACAAAATTATTGAGATTTTAATAGTTAATTTCATAAGAATGTGGTTCCCTTATTCCTAGGCTCGAACCTAGTTGGTATGAAAAACAACATAAAGACTTGTCTGTGGAGACATTTTGATCGGTTCATTTTTCATTTAAAAATGTCAGATGTGAATCTAAATAATTAATATTAAGATAACAAGTATATATGAATAAATAAGTTTCGTGTATATTGAACAAAAATAATGAACGATCTATAATTTAATATTTTAAATTTTAAGATTAAATATAATATTTAGTTTATTTATGACACTTTTAATGAAAATCACTATAGTATATTTTATTCCTTTCTTTGCCTCTAAAACAAGTAAGCATGCCCACATCAAATTAATGGTTACAAATATTATACTAAACACATAAATCTAAATTTATCGTACTAAAATTAGCACGAGAATCCAAAATTTAATTTGTCGTCTACCGAATGTCCCCGTAACTTCTACTGTAATGTATGCACTTGAATGATTCATTCATTCTTCTCATTTTTCCTATATATATAACGAGTTCGAAGATACTTATTCGTCCTATGCAAAAGTTTAAATGCCTCACTTGTTAAATCCCAATTTGTAAAATGAGTTCTGACATTTACAGCGCAGGAATTTTCCCGGAAAAATTATTTGATTGATACAATAAGAAGTTTTATCCCACCATATAGATCTCGTTATCTAACATGTTTTTTGGTTGATACGTCACCATTTTTGCAAAATATGATAAATTAATCAGTACAACATCTCAAAAACAAGAATGCATTAAATTGTTAAGGCATGATTAACAATTAAACAAAAAAAGAAATTAAGAAAAACTTCAAAGTACGTATCTCCGAAGAACAAACAAAAGAAAGAATTTACAACTTATTATTATTAACAATGCCATCCATGATGGCGAGGCAATTGCCACCCAACTGGTACAAATCGAGGGAATCCTGAGCAAAGGGCATGTCAACCCCACGAGACTCTTGGAAAGCCTCTTCACACGCATCTTGATCTCCTATCACGGAGCTGAACTTGAAGTAAGCGTCCACCACATTTTGTTCTGCCACCAACTCCATTGCCTCTTTCATCGTATCCAACATCCCACCATATAGTGTCTTGCATGTGTCAAGTGCATCAATCCCGGTTTTAGAGGTGCTGGGGTTGCTAAGGTGCTCCGAAATTACACCAGCGATTTCATTTGCCTTCTTCATGGTGGCATGTATCTCAGTCTCAAGAGCCTTCACGGGGTCGAATGAACCATGAAAGTATGGAGCAATTGTTTGGGCACAAAGGGTTGGATTCTCTGTGCCAGTGCAGAAGTTTGAGACCTCTGAGCTCAGTGTGTCTGAGTGTTCGACTTTGGCTGGGACCGACATGAGGTTGCCTAGAAGGTTGTTCATGTTGGAGTTTGATGTTGATGTTGATGTTGATGTGGTTGTGGTTGGGGCACTTGTGGGAGGGATGTGAAGGACGAATGTTGAAGGGACAGCGTTGGTGGATAGAAAGATAGATGAGAGGGTAACGATGAGGATTAGGGTTTTGTTGAGTTTGAACCCCATTGTCTCTTCTCTTGACAAAGTGTTGTAAGAGAAGAGACAATGGGAGAGTGTGAGAGACTCAGGTTGCAATGTGTTACATTGGCACGAGGTTTTATTATCGGATTTTCCATGCAAATTTTGGCGCGGTGGTGTTGTTCATTGTCGGCTCTCATTGGATTGAGAATGTTAGCCGTCATTTCTAATCCACTTGAAATAGTTTGTGGTCCATAATTATGAGTGTTTTGTCACCCATACATTTGTATATAGAAAGCCACGATCTGACTTGGTAAAAGTAATGAAATGGGTCATAAGTCACATGTTTATTCCTTCTGAATAGGAGCCAAAATGAAGGGTTATAGTAATACCTGAATTTCTATACTTTAATTGGATTAAATTATTTCCTTATAATTTTAAAAACATTTAATAAAATTCTTACTATTTTAAAGCCCTAAAGTTTTGTTAAATATTGCTTACATGACATTTTTTATGTGATAATTCCTAATTCTCTTTCCCCAACTCCTTCTCTCTATCTCTGTCTCTCTCTTTTCACATGTTTTTTTGTTTTATCAAAACATAATTTTGTTTTCCGTTGTATGATGACATGGTGAATCTCAAATCAAGCATTCTTCCCCCTACAGTAACACGAAATGGGCCATTATGGATCACCCTATGCTCAAAACATGGTCATTCCACTCACACAGGAGCTGATAACGGTTAGTAACTAGACCATTGATGCTAGAGGAGTCGAGGTTTACATAATTACATTGCTAATGGTGCAGGTACCATCCAGCTCGTAAAAAAATACAATAATAATGTTTTTATACTTTCTTTTGCATAATATTCACATTCATACCCTGTTTTTTTTTTTTTTTTGTCCACCACTTCATACCCTGTTAAAGAGTACAAATTCCATTGCTGTAAAAAATAACATCATCCATGGGATTAAAATATACAACATTCACGTTTGTCATAGTGTAATGATTAGAGATTCCGAAACACATATTGGTTAGGACTGAGAGTGACGATTATGGAATTTCCATCTTTAGAACCAGCAATGTTTGGATAGACCTTGTTTTCATGACAAACTGTACAAACAAAGAAAGTTATTATAGTCATGGTGCTATTTTTATTTGACACGGGGTCCAAAAAAAAAAATCCATCTAATGTCGCGATACATTGAATTTTTATCATGTATAGAATAAGTAACACATCATCAACATTTAAGAATTTAATTTCAAAATTTTAGAATTAGTTATAAATTTTTTAACTATGAACACTTAATTAAAAACTTAATAAAATTATAGACCTACGTATTCATCAAAACAAAATAATAAAAAAAGGCTTCAGCCCAAATTCACAGGGGCGAGGATATACATCTAGTCTATTTCCTTTACTATTGTTACTAGTTACGGATAAAAATGGAAACCAACCCATGATGCGTTTTTATTTTTTATTTTTTTTAGCTTTAACTCAGTGATCCCCATCATGTCGTGTCACTCAGAATCAGCGAACCTATACCGTGGGATCCACCCAAATTTTCATGGGATTCAATACTATGCACTTCTGAGTGGACATGACTGAACCCAACTTGCCATTGCCTGTTAACAATATCATGCGTCTTTGAATATAATGACAGTGAAGCTATGCGGATATATATAAATTATAATTAAAAAGGCTTTTGAAGCCAGTCTGGAAAAAACAAACTACAATGCAAAATATATACAAAATTTGATCCACATGTGGAACCACTGTCTCCTAGGGAAAAGCAGGATGGTGGTTTACTGAGGGCAAAAGCGACCACAGAAGAATCCCCTCTGTAACCAACACCACCACCAAGAAACCTTAAATCACTTGCAAGAAAATCCCACTAGTAATGGTTCCACCTTCAGCCATAGGAAAGAAAACCTGTCTAAATTATGGTGCGAAAACCTGTGGGTGCATGTTTGTGGTTAGCTTGCTTTTCCATGCACTTTCATCGTCCTTCATGAAGATCTTCAGAGAAAACAGCCGTCCTTGAAATGTTGTCATAGTCAAAGGCACTTAAACCAGAGTAAGGACCCGACGAAAACATTGAAGATGTTCTATCAGACTCATAGGTAGTAGAGGACTGTCTCAGGTTGGGCCGCGTATTGGATGAGGCTAACACAGGATCGTGATATTCTGTGATCCGCTGCACCATTTTAAGTGACTGTACCACCTCACCCATTGTAGGTCGTTGGCTTGCTTCAGGAGCAACACAGGCTGCAGCAATAGTGCAAACACGTACAAAATCTTCCTTTGGGTACCTTCCCCCAAGCCTTGGATCAGCAAGTTCTTCCAACCGGTCTTTGTCTCTAAGAATTGGTCTGGCCTGAAAGGTATAACTTAGTAAATTATTGTATATCCAATGTAAAAACTGCAAATGGAAATTTTTAACTTAACGAGAATAATGTGGGAGTGTCAAGGAATGAATCTAACCCAAGTAACAAGGTTCTCTTGTCCACTTGGCTGTGACATATCCACAGGTTTCCTTCCAGTCAGCAGTTCCAGCAAGACAACCCCATAGCTATAAACATCACTTTTTACAAGTAGGTGTCCAGTCATAGCATACTCGGGAGCTACATACCTATATAACAGTTTCATTTCATTTTAAATCTATAGATTAAATGGGACTTACAAGTATAGAAAATAATAGAACGAGACTAACCCAAATGTGCCCATGACACGAGTAGACAGGTAATTGGCCCTGCCTTCAGGTGCCTGTTTAGCAAGACCGAAATCTGCAACTTTAGCATGAAAGTTGTTCTCAAGCAATATGTTGGATGCCTTGAAATCTCTGTGTATAACACAGGGCTGTGAATCTTCATGCAGGTAGGCAAGTCCTCTAGCAGCATCAAGGGCAATCTTCATTCTGGTGTCCCAATCCAAAGGGCAATTTATTCCCAGGGGACCTAGGTTAAATCAGAGCCAATTTCAATTAAGCATAATGAAATCAATTCTGAAACAATTATCAGTGTTATCCTAGGAAGAAGAAAAACACGTAAATTCAAGATGAAATGGCTGAAGGCATTATTTGAGAGATTATATTACCATGAAGCCAGGCCTCCAAACTTCCATTTGATACAAGCTCATAGCAAAGTAGATTTTGTGATGAGTCACGATTGCTGTAGTACCCCACTAATTTTACAAGGTTACGGTGATGCAACCGACTAAGCATCTCAACCTCAACCAAAAACTCTTTGTCACCCTGTTGCCCTCCACTAGTAAGCCTCTTAATTGCAACAGCAGTTCCATCATTTAGGACACCTTTAAAAACTCTACCAAAACCTCCTTCTCCAAGCACACTTGCTGGTTCAAAATTATTTGTTGCTTCTTTAAGTTCTTCATAAGCAATAAAGCGTGTACTGGTTGGGTGAGGAAGAGATCCAATAGCTGGAACCGCACTTTCCATACTTGGTTTTTCTGTAGGAAAAGAGAACGAACATTAGTAGCAGGCCTAGAATGCAATATAGAACTGCAGAAGATAATGGAAACAACCTTTCATGTAAAGAAAGGAAACTACAACTAATATCAATGCGACAACAGTCAAAAAAATAAAAGCATTTTAAGTTTCTGTATTTTCCTTTTAATCTGGGTTCATCAATGGCTGACATCTAATTTGTCCATATATATTAAATAATACAACGAGTCACACATGCATTTCTACCTTTCAAAAGCTGAAACAGTCAACTTGAGTTAGGTTGAAATCCTGAAGCTAAAATAAGTTTCTCAATAAGCTAAAAACTAGAAAGGGTCGTTGCTACTTTCCTCCAAACATCTTGATAACTACATGAAAACTGGTAGCATTCATTACCCCATCAACATCAATTAACTATTTATGATTTAGCAGAGAAAATTGTATACTAAATCAAGCTTCACAATCAATTATCACAATTCACAATATATTAATACATATACATAATGAATTCCAATAAAAATCTTCTTGAGTAATTTGTACACTGCTCTCAAAATACTTGCACCAATCAATTGCAGTTAATTTTCTCAAGTCCAGAGAACTTATTTCTTTGTAACATGAGAAGATTATTTTTTAAGGGAACCTGATTTTTCTTCCTTTAATGCTTATACATTTGTACTTACTGGTTGCCAATGCCATTACAATATCCAAATAAAAAAAGTGGCTAAACATCATACAAAGCAATTTTCACCTTTAGTACGTTGTTATAACCAAAAAGAAAAAAAAGAAAAAAAAAAAAAAAACAATAATACGAATTAGAAATAGAAATATTTACCACTTTCTGGGGGAGGTGATTTTGTTTTTGGCCGCAACGTGCATAAGCAAAGTACAAGTACACATACAATGGAAATGAAGAGTACGCCAGTAACAATTCCAAGAATAAGAAGCAAATTTGAATGCCTTCCCCTGTCTGAAGTACTTGATGATGTAGTTGTAGGTGCTTGTCTCTGTGGAGTTATAACAGGTGATGTGGCAATAGTAGGAGCTGCATTAGCATACAAAGATATGTTATAATGCATATTCATTTTTAAGTCCTTCATCAAGCCCCACAAAAAGGCACTTATGTTTAATAACTCTTCCATAGGATTGAATTTCATAACCATAGAAAAAAAACCTGGTACTATGTTAGCTTACAGCTAAAGAGTTTAAGAAAACTAGATGTAGTTGTGTACATCTTCTAAAGCTTTGAAAGACCGAAGAAACTAGGAGCATTAGATAATGTTGCTATAAAATTGGATATAACTCATTTTACAAAAATGTGGCAACAAGCAACTAGATTAATATACATGCATTAAAGGGTTTGTGTAACAGTAAAAGCATATATGCAAACCATGAAGACAGATAGCTAAACAGTATGACTATTATGACATATTAGCAATATACAGACAACTATCCAAATTTACTTTTCACAATTGACAATGCAGCATAAGACTTTCATAAGCATCTATATAATCTTTTGTGTTTACAGATGCAATACAAAATGAATCTAGAAACATCAAAACATAACAGCTAAGCACTACGTAGCATCAACATATCTTTCTCTTCCTTTCCTCGCCACTTAGCAGCAACATTGAAAAATAAAAAACGAACCAACATGAAATCTACATACATTAAACAATAGAGTGGAAGTTGTTAAGATATTAAGATTTACATACATTACAAAGGTTTCAATATCAACTTTAAATAAATATTAACTGGTGGTTTTTACACATAATCATCTCGCAGTTACTGTTAGTTTCAATTGACAGGAACACCAAAGCATCATGATTCGTAATGACATATTTCAGAATTTAAAAAATCCTACTCTGAACTTACCTGGAGAAGGAGGTGGAGCTTTAAACCAGGTTATATTGAGGACCTTGTAGTCACCCACGAATCTACGGTCTAGTTGAACCTTATGCAGCAAGAGCGAGGAGTTTATTTTAGACGCTTCATCGGCAGAGAAACTGATCCCTTTATGCGGAGTGATATCCATCGATATATTCAATGTCGATAAGCTGAGTAAATAAAAGTTAATCAGCGTAATTTGGGTAGTCTGCAGGCCAAGTTGGGTAGCGAATTCATCAAGAAAAACATTCAAGTTGGGGTTTTGAGAGACATTCAAAAGTAGAAGGTCTAGCTTTATGGGATAAGCACAGTGACAACTCTCACTGCCTCGTTTCAACACCATGTCTTGCTTGCAACAATCTGGCAGAATAAAATAAGCAAATATGTCATCTTAAGCTCACAAAAACCATGAAAGATTATGTTTTATATTGAAAGTAGTAAATGCAAAAATTAAAAATAAAAAATCTTTTTTTCCTTTTCTAGAGTGGTGGTGACTCACTGGAAACATAAGTGGACAATGGGGGCTGAGCGGGAGCAGAAGGAATTGCATCAGCAATGGAATGAGTAGGGGCGATATTCTTAAAGCCAGTAACTGGAGGTTCTAATTCTCTTCTCCTTTTAGTGAACAAATGTGAAGTGGCATGTGATGGAATTGGTGCAGCAAAATGGTTCCACCCATGGGCACTTGGTGGTTGTGGCAGATCACCCAAAGGTGGTGTAGCTGGAGACAACAATGAAGGTGCTTCCAGTTCCAGTGTTTTACCATATGTACCAGAATCAACCACAAACAAGACCATGCAAGATAACAACATAAATAACATTTTCAACCCACCTGCATTATTTGCAAAAATGTCAAACCCAATCTTACAATTAAGGAAAGCTTTTCGCTTTTCACTTTTCCCTAAAATGCAAAATAGTTAATATTGGTTGATATGCAAAAACCTATCATTACCGATTAAGGACACAGAAACGACGGGCAGCGACATCAGCGATGCCGCGAACGGTTCAGATCAGATCTACAAAATCAACGGCGAAAAGGAGGGTAACTGAGTTGGGGGAGTGAGCTGGGACTCGGAGCGAAGAAGGTGTGAGCATAACTGAGTTGAATCGGAGATGTTACCGGTCACTGGTTACGTTGGCGGTGGCCTGAGAGAGAAGCTTCGGTTTTTTGTTTTGGGGGTTTGGGGGAAATGAAATGGTTGTGGGCGATGATGGTGTTTGTATCAACGGAAATAAGAACGGGATTAACGGTAAGGTAACGGTAAGGGCTTAAAGGGACAGGCAGCGCTTCCAAAGCATGACATAAGTGATAAGCCCCATCACGTTTCTTCTCCATCTTCACACGCCGTGTCACCACCCTATTATTATTTCTTTTTCTTCTTTTTTTTCTTAATGCAAATATGTTATTTTTAAAATATATATATACTATAAAGCGTTTTAAGAACATTAGTGGGTAAGTATTTTTTCCACCGTTTTAAAAAAAAAATTTCTATAAAACTTGATGAAAATAAATTTTTAGACTGCTTTAAGATTTTTTTAAAATGCTCAAATTAAAAATATATTTAATATATTAACATTTCAAAAAAATTAATTATACAAATGTTCAAAACAATATTAAATACTCCTTGATTAAAAATTTTAAAGAAACTTAGGTATTTTTAATTATTTTCTTTTTATAAAAAAAATGTTAAGTAGTGCTTTTAAAATATTAACTAATGAAAAAGTAAAAAATTATTTATTGAAATTTTATTTATTATTTTATTTAATTTGAATATTCTGTGTAAACATTTTTTGTCAGTATTAATTATTAATTATGTAATAATTAATATAAAAAATATACTTAAAATGATATTATATTAAAATTTAAGTCTTTGTAATTTTAATGACATATATTAAATTATTCTTAATTAATGTATTTCGAACCTTAGCTGAAGTAGTTAGACTAAAGCTGGGGTAGATCTATCTTAGTCACAGATTAAGGGGAATCATTTATAAGTTTTGCGTGATTTTCAAGTAATCGTGTGTTCATTGGAATAAAAGTGCTTATACCTTAGGTTAGTACACAAACATAACCTTAATACGATTACTGTTTCTTATAAGAAATCAAAGATGCCAGTTTTGGGTCACTAGAGATGAAAGATGTCTTTGGGATGCGTTTTCGTAATAATTTATAATATTTTAGTGAGCTTTTCTTAATCCCCCCCCCCCCCCCCCTTTCTTTACGATATAACATGGTAATAAATATCTATTTTAATATAAAACATAAATGCAACGAGTATTTTCACAGTATTTTTAAAGATTTTTAAAATAAAAGTGTTAAACAAAGAATAATATAAAAAATGGTCAAGTTAAATATATTTTAGTCTATCAAAGCATTGGAATTTTACCATTAATATTTGATTTTCTTAGATAAATGTTTTTCTATTAAATAATTCCTTTAATACTTCTTCATTTTATATGTATACATAGCTTCTTATAAGGAGATTATGATCCAACATACATTATCATACATGATTAAGGGTATGCTCGTATAATATTTAATTAATGTGCCTTGATTTTCATGTTAAGAATATTGCAGTAATTTATGTTTAATGGAAAATTGATTACATGCAATGCAATGTCAAACTAAGCTGCCCTTAAATACACGATCCATGAAATACATGTATGAGAGTATTTACTAATGTTGAGTCGATTTCTAAAGATGGTAATTTAGAATTTGAAATTAAGAATCTAGCTAATATTGTCATCTTGGAAATGTTTGAAATATTTCAATACGCATAGTAATTTCTTAAAAATGTGTTAGATACTGTGAATGCTATGTTGTATAACATTTAAAAAAAATCACACGTTCAAATTATATAAACATATAACCAAACATGCAGTTAATTGATGTGGCAATGAGCACATTAGTACCTGACATAAAGCATAAGGCTTTCATGTTCACCACCTCCATCAAAGAAGGAAATGCATATTGTGTGTTTTTTCTTTCAAACTCGCAAAAGATTTTGAAAACTAAAAATGGATTAGGGTATGTTAAATGGAAAGAAGATATTTAAACATTTCTACCTTATAAAAGATATACATTTTTTTTAAGATCATATTATTGATCAAGATACACATGTCATATTGAGTGTAAGAATTTATGTAAGATCTTATTTATATATACATCGCGATTAACAAAATCAAATCAATCGATTCTAAAAGTAGAAAAATGAAAAACTTTAATTTTTAAGTGTTAAAAACACAAGTAATAGCAAGTAGACAATCTACGGTTTGGATACTAGAAAAAATAGGTTAAATGGTGTCATGGGTGCTTTGGATAACATAATCATCCATCACCCTTTCTTCTTCTTTTTTTTGGCTAAATATTTAATGTTAAATACATCTCTTTTGATAAATAATATTTAATGGTATTATTTAAATAATAAATTTTATTATTATGAAAATAAAACATTTTCATGAATATGATTATTGATTGAATAATAATTTCCAGGGATATATCTTAATTCAATTTTGATTAGTAAGTATTATGCTCCACTCTTTGTTTAGAAAAAATAATTTTGTAGGAGCAAAGTGAGCATGACAATTTTTTTTATTTAAAATAATTATATTGTTTGAATATAGTGTTACATTATAATACCTTTGCTCATCATTTTTTTATTTAAATATTAGAAATTGATACACGCGTGGTGCATTTTGATATGTGATACTTCGTGGTGTTAGAGTTTTTTTTTTTTTTTCTCTTAGACCAAATTTTAAAATTCAGAAATAAATTATAGTTTCTTTCACATTGATTGAAGTTTAAATTTGAATTTTAGTTTCTCTCCCATGTTAATTAAAATTTGAATTTAAAATTTAAATTTTAGGTTTTTCTTACTTTGACTAAATTTTAATTTTTAATTCAAAAAACTTCAATTCTTGTGTGAGGTCAAGATTTAATTTCAATTTTTAGTTAAACTGAAAAGAAAATTTAAATTCAAAGTTCAAGTTTGAATTAACTTGGAATGAAAAATAAATTTTTATTTTTATTTTTTAGAGAAATTAAAATTAAATTTTTATATCTATATTCCAAAAATAAAAGTAAATGTCAAGAGGAGTTGCGTCAAATTTTTTTAACATGTATAGCAAAATATGTATAACATCTTATGTATAGCTCAAACAAAAATGTGACATGCAGGGGTGGTCAAAAAATCTAATTTCATAAATCCAATTCATAACCAATGTCAAATTGGTTTTAAAAATCTAGATCCATATTAAACCAGTTTTTTTATTAACTATATTTGTATAACTAGTTTAGTGTCTAAATCCATTTTCTAAAATCAGATTTATTTTTAATTATCCAAATCCATATGTATGAAGCAACCTTATATTTTTATTTACTAAATGTTAGCGTTATATTAATTTACAAAATTTTATTGTAACTATATTTTACTATTACTATTTTTTTATTAATCTTAATTCTTATAATTAACATATTTAAAAATATTAAAATATAACAAATATTTTTAAATTAGTTAATACTATTATTTTTATATTTATGTTTATTTTTTAATTTTTAAAATATTATAACATAAAAATTTTATGATTATTTATATTATTAATTTTTATTTTTATAGGTTTTAATTTAAATTTTTATTATAAACTCCATTTATAAAAAATAATTTAAAAATAATAATAAATATTTTATATACTTCTATAAAATATAATATATTAATAAATATTGTTAAAATCTTTTTGAAATGAACTATTTTAATGTAACATTTGTACAATAAATTAGTTTTACCTTAAAAATATAATTCATAAATATATTAAAAATTAATTTTTCATTAAAAATTAAATTTAAAATTAGATTTAAAACTAATTCAACGTAAAACTAAATTTGAAACTAGTTTCAACAAAAACTAAATTTAAAACCAATTTTAAACTAAATTTAAATTTTAAAACTATTTTTGAACTGATTAAAAAAATAAAATAAAATAGTTTAAAATTCAACTCATATAATTAATTTGTGTGATGGATAGATGATATAAAGTACAATATATCTAAATATTTATTATTTTAATAAAATATAAAATTAAAAAATACTATTAAGAAATTAAAATATATGCAAATACTCTCTTAACATGTATTGTTAATGTAATGGGTTAGAATATTATTTATATTCATATTTTATCTTTGATAAATGTTGATGCTTAACAAATATATATATATATATAATGTTATATTATTTATTTAAATATTTTAATATAATAATTTAATAATAATTAAAAAATAATGATGGTATATTTTTACCATATGTAAAAACGGTTTAAAACTGATTTTAAACCAAATCCAAATTTTAAAACTAAATTTAAACCGGTTTTAGAAAAATTAAAATGGATTGGTTTATAATCCAATCCATATAATTAGATTTTAAATGGATTTAGATTGGTTTTTTGAAAATCCAATCTATGAACACCCCTATGGCGCCATAGAAAGTGTCACATGTCAGTGACATGTGACACTTTCTATGGCGCTCTTTTGAATTGAGTCATACCTCAAAATGTGACTTATATTGTAAGTTATATATTAAATATTTGACATATCATATTTTGTTGTACAATGTATGTTTCTTTTGTTTAATATTTTTTAAACAATGTTAAATTTACTCATTTTGATAATTAATTTTTAAATAATATTATTTTATTAAATAACTTTTAAAATTTATTATTATGATAAAAAAGCATGTTGCACGAATATAGGAGAGTTGTTTAAAAAGAAAAAATTTGAAGAAAAAAAAAGTGCATGATAATTTTTTTGTTTTAAATAAATATATTTTAATTTAATACCTTTTTAAGGTTAAAAATATAAAATGATATATTTCTATAAATATAATATATAATTTATTGCTTTAAAAATGAAAAATTTCTCTTAAACAACTCTAAAAACTTTTTAATTTTATTTTCTTATTTCTATTTTTTGAATGACTCTAATGGTGATCGGTGATGACATAAAAATTAAAAGGTGAATGTTGTTTTACACTTAACTCAATTTTACATTCTTATGTCATGAAAATGTATAATTCCAACTATAACTATAATGAAAATGTGAAAACGTTAGGCAACAACCTTTGGAAAAAAAAAAAAGCAAAAAAATATAATGAACCAAAGTTCCACAAATTATTGAAAACACTTTATTAAAATAGGGTTAACGTGCTGCATATGCTATTTAAAAATAATCTTAAAAATAATTTGTAAAAAAATAAATAATTATTTTTCAAAAGTAAATGTTTTCAAATAGGTACACATAAAAATTAAATATAAGTAGCTAATAATAATAATAATTTATTAAAAAAATAAATATTTATTATATTTTTATACTTCAATATAATAACTATATAATTTTTTATTATTATTAATTACTTATTTTCAGTTCTAAGAGTTAAAATTAACGAAACATATAAATTAATATTAAATTAATTTTGTTTGATTTAACTTTTTGTCTTTCATAAAAAAAAGTCTATAAATAATTTACTTTTTTTATATTAAATAAATACCACAACATAATATAACATCACTTGACAAGGAGAGTTTTACATAAATTCAAAATCTTTATTTTGAGAAAAAACAGTTTTAATTAGTATATTTTTAATCAGAAAAAGAAAAACTATTTTAGCTGTCATATCATGTTAAAATGTTCAAATAAAGATGTATTAAATATTAATGTAAATATTTAGAAAATTCATCTATAATGTACAAATAAGTTCTAAATATTAATAATTTAAATATAAAAAAAACCAGATCAAAGATGAATTTTTGCTTTAGAAGCAAGAAAATTCATGTATTTAAGCTTTGTCTGGGAATTTGAAAGAAAAAAAAAGTTTGAAGGAAAAAGAGAAGAGAAAAAAAGATTAAATTTCTTTTTTATTCGAATATTAAAGATAGAAAAAGAAAAGTGACAGAGAGTTAATTATATAAATAAAATTATTATCATTTATATATATATTTATATTTTTTATTTTTTCAAAAAATTTAAAAATTAAGTTTTTTCTTCTTCTAAAAATTAATATTTTTAAAAATTAATATATTTTAAAACTATCACTCTAAAAATATATTTTTAAAAATTATATTTTTATTTTTATAAAGTTTTTAAAATATATCACTCTAAAAATTAATATATTTTGAACAAAAATTAATTTATTACTATTCTTTTCTTTAATTGTTTTAAAAATACACAAATTATATATTTTTTCCTCCTAAAAATTAATATTTTTAAAAAAATTCACTTTAAAAATTAATATTTAAAAAAAATATTTTAAAAAAAATTAATATCACACTTTTTTAAAAATATTTTTTATTCTCTTTCATTCATTTAATAATTAATATGAAGAAAAATATTCTAATAGATTAAAAAAAACTCTAAAATAGGAAAGCTATCAAAGTTACAAAGATTTTAGAAGGTTTAGAAAAACTTCCTAACCTTTCTTCAAATTAATTAATTCCCAAACAACAATTAAATTCTCCTAACTCCTCCCTTCCCTTTCCTTTCCTAAACTCAACTCTCAAATGTACCCTCAGGCTTTAGTTCCATCTTCATATACATGTTGGGGCCAGAATGTATTTTGGAAAGTGTACACAATCAATGTTGTCCAAACCCCAATCAATTTCATGTTTTTGGGCACGCAGTTCTATCTATATTTCTGGCAACCGCTCTTCGTTGGGCAGCATTTGGACATGCTTCCAAACAAGGCTCCTGCAGGACCGTGTCATCTTTAGGCAGTGGGGGATGAACTCCAAATTTGAACTGCAATTTTAAAAGATCAGAATGACAAGGAGATCATCTTAAAAAGTTGGGTTCCAAAAAAAGATAACTCAATATTAATTACCTGACAGCTGTAATCGGCAAAGTTAGGCTCCATAAGTAATGGAACCCCCATATGATCCTTGAAGAAGGTCTACATAGAAAATAGAATCAGATGATGGAACAGCTGAAGCATGCACAACATGTTTAGGTCTTATTGTAACAACAAACGATGGAGTATTTTGCAGAATCACTAACCTGTGTCGGAAACTTACAGGTGTTGATGCAAATACCAACACACTTACTTTCCTCCAGATACTTGCATCTTTCCACGTACACCTACAAGATTTTACAAATACATCACTTAGAAGATTACGGGATTATTTGGTCCGAGTTTTTACCACACTCTTAAAAAGATCAAACATGGAAAAGTACAAGTGATCACCCCACTACTGCATGAGGTTCCATCCGGTAGGTCTACAGAATTGACTTTGCATGAGCCCATGAGCCATTGACAAGTCAGTGCAGTAACCCTTGCTTCAAAACTTAAAAATGTTTTAGGATATCTAAACAAGTCTTAAAGCCTGAAAAAATGGATAAGGATTCATCAAGAAGAATTGAAAAATGAAATGTATCTAATCAGACTCACCAACCATCGTAGCAGCAATTTTGCCTCCTCCTATAGGAGCTATGAGCGATTTATAGAGCTCCAAAAGGAATGGAGGAAACAGAGACCTCAATATTCGAACCTGTCACAAGTAACAAAGGGTAGCAAACTTTGGCACAACATAACCTTTCAAAATTCATAAGAAAAGAAACCGTGCAGGGTGAATCGTATAATAAATGTTATGATCTATGTTGCATTGCTGTGGAAATGCAAATGATCAGAAGAACCCATGTCTTGGAAGGTGTTTGTCAAACGACAAGTCCAAAACAGTGTTGTTTTAATAGTTTGTATTTATGGTAATTGGGTTGGTAATGGTAATCAACCGTTCAGAAAATAAAATTCTTTTATTTTTACCTCAAACAAAATCATACACAAAACAAGTTTTTATTTTTACCTAATTAGCTCTGTACTCTGGTCTTCCTAATTAATACCCTTAGACCAGTGATTAAAAAATTATTAAAAATCACGGTTAGATTATATTATAAATCACTGGTTATGATTATTAGTAATACTTTCATATGGAAACCTTTTATTCTAGTACTATAAAATCCCTTGTTAATGTCTCCTTTTTATTTTTTATTTTAACCAAAAGCTTCGTTCTCTCATTCTTATAGTAATTGAATTACGTTACCAAGATGTACCAAACAATAATTGTTATTAAACCAATTATCTTGACTTTCTCCTGTCACAAACCTCTTTATGAAGGAGGAAACCCCGTCCACTACTAAACCAGTTTTAAGCTAAAAATTGTGCGGCCATGTTTTTTATTTCTCAAACAAACCTTAATGAAAATGTTATTTCACATAAGAAAAATTCTAAAAGGGGAAAGTGAGAGAGAGAGAAATGGAAATACCGCAGCTTCAATGGTATCAGAATTCGTAGTTCCCTTCATCATTAGACGATTCGCAACTTCAATTAGTCCATCATATCCCGCTTTCTTTGAGTCCCACCCCACCTCCTGTAATGTTATACTATTCACACTCACTCACCCATTACATCTAACAAGAACACGCAACAAGGGTTTTCGATTTTCCTTACCTGCACCAATTTCTTGCGGAACAAATTCAGAAATATGTCATCAAACACACCGGGTTTGTATTCACTCTTCGGAGCTGCAATTCCCACTTGCTCTACCTGATTCAATTCACACTATACGAATCGGAACCCTGCAAAAGATGAATATGAAAAATCCAAGTCGAAGATACGCACCGTTTTGGACCCCGATGACGAAGAAGAAGATAATGAAACGCAAAAACGACGGTTACGAACGCTTGACCATAGCATTGGAGCACCGCCAACGACAACAATGCCTAGCGCCTTCATTTCTCTCCAACTGAAACTAAATTACCAGTTTTTCAGTTAAAAAACACAAAGTTTACCGGTAACCGGTTAATTCAAGTAAAAACTAAAACGACGCCACTTTGTGCGTTTTGGTAACCCTCACAAATAGACAAGGGCACTTAAACCCTTGTGCCACTATCTTAGAGCGATCGGAGATGAGTTATGCCCGTCTGATTTCCGGCGGAGGATGGCTTTTCCGGCGGCTTTGCACGGTGGCTGAGCGTCCGGAAAAAGAGTTGAGCCTTTATCGGAGGTTATCGGCGCTGTATATGACCGGAGGAAGCGTGAGGGAAACGTTGAACCAGTACATAATGGAGGCCAAAGCTATCAGAAAATCAGAGCTCGACAGTTGCGTCAAGCAGCTCCGAAAGTATCACAAATTCCAGCACGCACTCGAGGTATCAATTTTTTTTATTTTTTTTATTTTTTGCAATATGATGACAAGTATCTTAAGAGACTCATCAATGAATTAAAAGTAAAATTTTTTATTAAAAAATATATATCAATGCACTCACCCAATGATTTTCAATGCTTCACAATGTAATTTCTAATATAAAAATTATAAGGCCCTTTTTTTTTAAATTTTCGATCTAGTTGAACTCTTATCATTTTTTCTTACAAGGCAAAGGTAAATAAACTCCTATGCTAGTCCTTTGGATGGTAACTTACATCACTTTAATTCTTACTTTATAAAATCCTCAGATTGACATTTATTTTAGTCGTTTCTGTATTTCTGACAATAAACGAAATAGAAAAGGATTAAAACAAATAATATTTTGTGAAGTCAAGAATTGGGGTGAAGATTTTATAAAATTAGAGATTAAAGTAAATGATGCTTATGATTTTAAGTGATTAAAACTAAGTTACACTCTGTTAATCATTTTGTTTTTCTTTTAATGGGTGCAGATAATGGAATGGATGGAGATGAGGAAAGTTAACTTTTCCTATAGTGATTATGCAGTGCATTTAGATCTTTTGTCCAAAACCAAAGGGTTGGCTGCAGCTGAGAATTATTTAAGTGGTCTTCCTCCTCGTGCCAAAAACAACTACACCTATGGTTCTCTTTTGCACTGCTATTGCATGAAAGGAATGACAGACAAGGCATTGGATCATTTTCTCAAGATGGATGAATTAGGTTATGTCAATGGTGTAACTTTCGGTAATCTGATGAGTATGTATATGAGACTGGGTCAACCCCAGAAAGTGCCTCAGCTAGTGCGTGATTTGAAACAGAGGGACATTCCCATGGTTGCATTCGTATACCATATCTGGATGAATAGCTGTGCCTCTTTGAATGATCTTGATGGGGTGGAGAGAGTCTATGAGGAGATGCAAAGAGAAGATGGAGAGAAAATTGATTGGCTGACTTATAGCAACCTTGCTGCTATCTATGTAAAGGTTAAAGACTTTGAGAAAACTGAGATGATGCTCAAGATGCTGGAGAAAGAGGTGAAACCACTGCAACGCGAAGCTTACCATTGCTTGCTAACCCTTTATGCAGGGACTGGTAATCCTGGAGAGGTTCACAGAATATGGAATTCTCTCAAATCTGTCTCCCCTGTGACCAATATCAGCTATCTTACTATGCTCCATACCCTCCGAAGGCTTAATGATGTGGAGGGCATAACAAAATGCTTTAGGGAGTGGGAGTCTGGTTGTGTTAGTTATGATCTAAGGTTGGTTTCTGTTTGTATTTCTGCTTACTTGAATCATAACATGGTTGGGGAAGCTGCATCGGTCTTTGAGGAGGCTATCAGGAGGAGGAGGAAAGGACCTTTACATCAGATCTTTAAGATTCGGGAATTATTTATGATGTATTTCTTGGAGAAACGTCAGCTGGATAGTGCTGTGAGCCATTTAGAGGCAGCATTTTCGGAAGTCGAAGGTGATGATTGGCATCCTTCACCACAAGTTGTTAGTGCTTTTGTCAAGTATTATGAAGTAGAGAAGAATGTTGAGTGTGTTGAGGAGTTGCGCAAGATTCTCAAGGCTAGCAATTTTGATGATTCCCGGATTCAAGCTTGCATTACTGCATTCAAATCATCTCCTGAAATTCATCCAAGATTGAAGGAAGATTCTCAAGTTTACCATGCGCCGGATATCTGGACATCATGGAAAAACAAGTTTTTATAGAGGATGTGTGATAGGGCCCAAGGATTTAATGGGCCTGATGAAGCTCAAATCCAACAAGGCAGCAGCAAATCACATTGGGGAAAAGTCTATGCGAGGCGCAAAGCTCGCAAAGATTAGGATTACAATTTGTTAGAGAAAATAAAGAGAGTTGTTACTTTGTTTAGCTATTTTTATGCATTTTGTTATTCGAATTTACTTTTAAATAAGCTTAGGAAGCAGGAGGAGAGATTTGGTGGTTTTTCTTTGTTAAGTGTATTAGGAGCTTGGCTCTGGAGTAGAGAGGATTACTCATCCTCTGTACTGTGATGTTCTTCTTTTTTTTTATCTTCAATAAAATATAACTTCTCTTTTCTACATTATTACCTATCTTTACTTTTCTCTGAGTTTGGATCGTAACAATTTGGTCCGATCTGCCGGATCATTTTTTCGGGGACAGTGAATGCCACCGAAAAAGAAAGGGGGTAAATCAAGCCAAGGAGAACCAGCGAATTCAGTGACCATGGAGGCTAGGGTCGATGTAGTGGAGGGAGAACTGGAGCGCATGAGAGCTATTATGGAGGAGATGAGGTTACAATTTGCTCAAAATCAAGCAGCTTTGGAAACCTTGCGAAAGGAGGCAGCAGAAAATCATGCCAGAATGTTGGAAATCATGACCCGTAATGTGGAGAAGATTCCGCCAAATGAGGCTGAAAACTCATACGACCCAGGAAGAAAAGCGAATCAAAAGAAAAAGGGGGAACATTCGGGTAATGGTTCTGGTTTGAAATCGTTAGAGTGCAAGAGCACAAAATTACTCTCAAAACAGGGCAGGGTCCTATCAATGTCAGGCCATACAGGTATCCACATTTTCAAAAAAATGAGATAGAGAAGCAAGTTTAAGAATTAATCAGTAATGGTCACATCCAGCAAAGCCAAAGTGCATTTTCAAGCCATGTAATTTTAGTAAAGAAGAAGAATGGTCAATGGAGGATGTGTGTGGATTATAGAGCTCTCAACAAGGCAACTGTTCCTGACAAATTTCCTATACCCGTCATTGAAGAATTATTAGATGAATTACACGGGTCAAAATATTTTTCTAAGCTAGATCTAAGGTCTGGCTACCATCAAGTAAGAATGCATGAAGGAGACATCCACAAGACAACGTTTAGGACGCATGAAGGGCACTACGAGTACTTAGTAATGCCATTTGGGCTCATGAATGCCCCTTCTACATTTCAAGCCCTCATGAATGATGTTTTCAGAAAATTTTTATGAAGAGGGGTTTTGGTTTTCTTTGATGACATACTGGTATATACTAGAAGCTGGGAAGAACACTTGAAGTTATTGTGCTTAGTGTTGGAGGTATTGAGACAACAAAGTCTATTTGCAAACAAAGAGAAATGCAATTTTGGCCGAGGGCAAGTGAAGTATCTTGGACACGTAATTTCAGCAGAAGGTGTTACGGTGGATCCAGAGAAAGTTAATAGTGTTTTGTGTTGGCCAGCTCCCAAATCGGTTAGAGTAAGGGGATTTCTCGGACTCACGAGTTACTATCGGAAATTTATTAAAGATTACGGCAAGATTGCTAGACCATTGACCGAGTTGACAAAGAAGGATGGATTCAAGTGGGGTACAGAGGCTCAGAAAGCATTTGAAGAATTAAAGAGGAAGATTACTTCTGCACCTGTTTTACAGGTCCTAAATTTTGAAAAACAATTTGAAGTGGAATGTGATGTATCAAGAGTAGGAATTGGAGCTATATTGATGCAGGATCGCAAACCGGTGGCTTACTACAGCAAGGCTTTGGGGCCACAAAATTTAGCCAAATCAGCATATGAAAAGGAAATAATGGCGGTGGTCTTAGCCATACAACATTGGAGGCCATATCTATTGGGGCACCATTTCACGGTATTTTCAGACCAGAAAAGCTTGAAACAACTACTCCATCAACGGATCACTACTGGCAGCCAACAAAACTAGGTAGCCAAATTATTGGGGTATGACTTTGACATTGTTTATAAATCGGGAAAGGAGAATAGGGGAGCTGATGCCCTTTCCAGAAGCCAAGAAGAGACAGAACTGAAAGCACTGATTTATTCTCCAATTTGGTTAGATGGTCAAGAAGTAGTGGCAGAAGTTCATGCAGATAAGAAGCTTGGGAAAATAATTTCAGATTTACAGCAACAACAGAACACACACCCAGGTTTCATTTATCAACAGGGGGTCTTGAGATTTAAAGGAAGATTGGTCGTGGCAAGGAATTCGGTTTGGATCCCAAAATTACTAGAAGAATTTCATGTTACTCCACAAGCAGGACATTCTGGTTTTTATAAAACTTACCGGAGAATAGCAGCATATTTGTATTGGGAAGGAATGAAGAAGGATATTCAAGAATTTGTGCGTTCCTGTGATATTTGTCAACGTCAGAAGTACCTAGCTACCTCTCCCGCAGGTCTATTACAACCTTTACCTATACCAGAGGATATTTGGGAAGATATCAGCTTGGACTTCATCACAAAGTTACCTAAGTCAAAAGGATATGAAACAATCATGGTAGTTGTTGATCGTTTATCCAAATACAGTCATTTCATAACTCTCAAACATCCTTATACTGCTAAGGGGGTGGCTGAAGTGTTTGTCAAGGAAATAGTCAGGCTCCATGGCAGTCCAAAGTCAGTGGTGAGTGACCGAGATCCCTTGTTCATGAGTACATTTTGGAAGGAATTCTTCAAAATGCACGGCACAAAGCTTAAAATGAGTACGGCGTATCATCCTCAAACCGACGGTCAAACGGAGGTGACAAATAGGTGTCTAGAAACATACCTACGGTGCTTCATTGCAGATCAACCAAAAACTTGGGTATTGTGGTTACCTTGGACAGAATATTGGTTCAATACTACCTACCATGAATCCACAGGAAAGACACCGTTTGAGGTAGTGTATGGGCACAAACCACCTTCATTGATACACAACGTTCCAGGAGAAATAAGGGCTGATGTGGTGCAAAGGGAGTTGAGGGACAGAGATGAAGCTCTGAAACAGCTAAAAAATCAGTTAAAGAGAGCTCAAGACAGAATGAAGTCCCAGGCGGATAGGCATCGAATAGAAAGGAGCTTTAAGGTTGGAGATATGGTGTTCTTAAAGCTTAGACAAAACCGACAGCATTCTGTCACTGCCCGAGTGAATCCTAAGTTATGTGCTAGGTTTTATGGACCATTTGAGGTGTTGGAGCGGATTGGAGAAGTGGCATACAAGCTCAAATTGCCTGCTTGTTCCAAAATACACCCAGTATTTCATGTTTCCCTTTTAAAAAAGGCAATTGGGAATTACACTGCAGAATCTAAATTACCAAGTGGTCTTGAAGAAGCAGCAGCAATAGAGGAACTGTTAGAACCGGATGCAGTCCTTTACACTCGCGGTTTACTGCAACATGGAGAGAGGGTGAATCAATGGCTGATCCACTGGAAAGGAAAGACACCTGAGGAAGCAGCCTGGGAAGATGAAATCACAATCAGGGAACAGTTTCCAGAATTTAGTCTTAAGGACAAGACATTTTTTCAACCAGGAGGTATTGATAGGGCCCAAGGATTTAATGGGCCTGATGAAGCTCAAATCCAACAAGGCAGCAGCAAATCACATTGGGGAAAAGTCTATACGAGGCGCAAAGCTCGCAAAGATTAGGATTACAATTTGTTAGAGAAAATAAAGAGAGTTGTTACTTTGTTTAGCTATTTTTATGTATTTTGTTATTCGAATTTACTTTTAAATAAGCTTAGGAAGCAGGAGGAGAGATTCGGTAGTTTTTCTTTGTTAAGTGTATTAGGAGCTTGGCTCTGGAGTAGAGAGGATTACTCATCCTCTGTACTGTGATGTTCTTCTTTTTTTTTATCTTCAATAAAATACAACTTTTCTTTTCTACATTATTACCTATCTTTACTTTTCTCTGAATTTGGTTCGTAACAATGTGGATGTAGTTTATGTTAAGCAAGTGATTTTACAATTGACTTGGTTTCCTTTATAGGATAACCAATTTCTCTAGAATCGTTTAGAATTTAATAATGAAAAAAAATTTAGTTTTTTTTTTAATCATTATTAAAATTATTCATTATTTTTATTTTATACTTTGTTCTCAAAACTAGGAATAAAAACACAACCATTTTCTAATCCAAACTTGTTATAAATAAAACAATGTCAGTTTTTTTTAATTAGAAAAGTGATTGTCAGTCCAGGTGTTTTTTTTATTTAGATTTAGAAAAAAAATGTTTTCACACTACTTGCAGTGTATACACCTTGTGTAAGCGGATGGGAGGAGAGGAAAATAGTGTAAGGTATATAAGATCAGTGCAAAATTTGAGGTGTTAAATAATCAGCATATCAAAAAAACAACTGGGATTAGTTGCATTCCAGGATACCCATTTATTTATAAAATCAAGTTATTATGCGCTGCATTTTTTTTTCGTGTGTACTATAAGTTGCGTAAATTTTCGCTTTATATATGACATTGAAAATTCAGCTCTCTCCAATTTCTGCAAAATCTTTATATTTATATTAAGGAATTTTTTTTTACCGCTACAGGTGTGCTAAACAGATAGGGACGCAGAAAATCATCATATTTTATGTTTGTTTCGTCACATTGAAACAGGGTCATTATCTGATGGCTTTCTTAAAGATGCACAATAATATATATTTCTTTAAACACTCATTAAAAAGATTATTTATCCCTTATTTTTTATGGTTAACTTTTTTATTTGCTTCAACATAGTAATCATGAAAAAGATGTAATCATAACTATAACATTAAATTTTACAAAAATAAAAAAAAATAAAGGATTCAACCCAGCCAGAGTGGTCAAAATGGGTCAATCCGATTCACTCAAGTTAACTCACAATAGATTAAGTTTAATAGTGAATTTACCTAACTTATTTCACCTTTAGAGTAAGCTAAAAAAATGTTATTCTGACTTAAGCCCACCAACCTGAAAGGTTACCTTTGGCCATCAAATTTAAAAATAATAAAAAATTATAAAATAAAGAAAACAAACACTAAAATAGAGATTACAAACGTAAATTAACAAAATAAACTAATTTAATTTGCATAAATGTCTTGATTTTTTAAAATTAAGTTAAATACTAATTTAAATTAAAACTCACGGATTGACTCAACTAACCACAGGTTATGAATATGATCCAAATAAAAGAAAAAATCTTACTACGTATGAGTTAATTGTTAAACTCACCTCACCCAAAACCCACTATAGGTCAAGTTAACTTAAGAGTTACAACTCACTCACTTTGACAATTCTAAACCAAACTACTCTAGTATCAATTTAAGACAATCAATGTGACACTTGAAAAGTATTATATATTTATATCATTGTTAGGTTTATTAGTTTCTTTGATTAATATCTATAATTTCTAATTTAAATTATTTAATAAAAGAGAAGGAAGAGATTAGTTATCTCAATGTTGTCATTTCAAACTTGAAGAGATTAGACAACATTTCCCATTTGACTCCGGTCACAGGTTCAAATTCCTGATAGGATACCGTCCCCTTCCCTAATTATTTTGTAATAAAAAATTTTATCGTCTCAAATTGCAACACTCAACAAGTATTAGCTCTTCCTCTGGCTGGATTCTAACTCAATACGTAAAGCTCATGTTGCAAAACTCAATGCATATTACCAGTTTGAAAAAGATAAGAAAATAAGAGAAAAATTCATCATTCCATTTTTAACTGAATGGATGCTGAAAAGCAAACGGTACTGCAACTGTACGTAACAACTAAGCATAAAGCATGAGAGGATGAAACTTCATCTCCATAGTGCTGATAATGAATAAACACTTTTCTGACACTGCTTAAAATAACTAAAGTAATGCTTCAATTACAATTAAAAAATAGGGCAACGAGAAAGCACTAAACAGTACAAACCTATCTAGTACAAGCGTAATGAATAGTACAATCCCAAACTTAAGCTATTGGTACACTATTTTAAAGGTTCTCCACTGGTCTAAAGGAAACACCCTTGGGATTGAACACCCGATAGCTCACAAAAACAGACACACAAAGTGCTGCTACTGATAGTATAACAGAAAAGGCACTTGCAACATTCCATGAGCTACTTGATGCTGCGTCTGCTGACTTGCCACTCAAAGAACTGCCCCGAGATATGTCAATGGAAACCCAATCACAGTTAACAGAGTAGTGTCCAGAACGATGCCATGGCTGACCATTTACTGGATACCAGAATGCAACAGACATCTTACTGGATCCACCAATGGTAAATTGTACATCCTGCAAGGTATTATGTTGCACCATTTTACTCACTTGTCATCACATAAATGAAATTCAGGAATATAGATACACCTACAGCACTATTAAGACAAACATATTTGGTCTCAAGTTCTGTCAAAGTTATGAGTCTCTTTGTAAAGGGGGAAACTAGAAGATAACACAATAATCACAATATGTTAAACTACGACCACATGATTCAGAAGGCTTCCTTCAATCACATCTATTAGATTTGAAAAGATTTTCCTTTTCACCTATGCCCCACACCCCAAACAAAACCAAAAAATTACAGAGAAAGAAAGTGGTCTAAATCTAGTTTGTTTTAGTTTTTGACCCACAGACAATAAATATTTCTTCGGAGGGCAAGTTTATGTTAGGGTGAAAATAAAACAAAAAAGCCAGTAGAGGTTATCTTATCCAAAGCCAAAGCTGTTTCAACCATAAAACAGCATAGATACATAATTCAAAAGCATCAAGTAAAATTGATAATTAATGTCCATATTTTCCATCAACAACATTTAGATTTGGGAACGGCTCCAAAGATTAATCAAGAAAAAACTTATGAATCAAGAATCAGCTAATGATAAAGATCTGGACAAATTACTGCAAGCCCTAAGCAAATTATTCTAACCTGTTGAAGATGATCCATAGTCCTCAAAGGCCTAGAGAATTCAAAAAAGTATGTGCCCTTTTTTCCATTTTCTGCATATGGACTCTCGTCCTCTACAAAACCTGTTACAGAAAAGTTAATATAGAGGAAGAAAAAGAAATAAAATAACCGATAGGGTAAAATAAAGCAGAGAGATCAAATTTAAGGTACTGTTTTTTACGAAGATATTCACGCATGGGGTTGAAACTAGTATTGTAAAAATCAGCTTGAACCAACCAATTCAAATAGTGAACTGGTTCGAGCAGACTATTGGATCATTAATGCAATTGAACCAGTTCGAACAAGCTCTAAACCAGAATTGAATCAGCATGAAAGGGTATTGGGTTAATGACTTGAATTGGTTTTGCACAATATTTACTGTAGAGTTCAGAAAAGGTTTAAACTTTTCACCTAATAATGTAACAGTAACCATTAAAACATAAATTTAAATTAATTATAATGTTCCTACTATTATTATTATTATTATTATTATATAGATGTATCTAATGAGAATTTTTTTTATATGAGAATGAAAATGATAAATATGAACCATAAAACACTATATGAATGATCAAGATTAAATTTTTTTTAAGCTACATGATCACTTAAAAAAGTTAAGAGACTTTAAAAATTCACACAATATGTTATAATCATGACTATTTATGGTAAGATCCAATAATTGAGATTTATTCTCAAATTCTTACATAAAAAAAATCTCATTGGATACTCTCTCTCTGTGTATATATATATATATAGAGGTAGGATTTTCTTACACTGATATAAGTTTAAAAATTCTTATACTCAATTTGAGCTTTTTGTTTAATTTAAATCTAACAAGTTATAATTTATTATTTTACTATCCTGTTAGTTTAAGTTAAATAAAATGTTCAGATTGAGTATAACAGTTTTTAAACTTATACCAGTGTAAAAAAATCTTTTTCCATATATATATATATATGGTTCGTGTAGAAATTCATTTAGTGGTTGAACTAGTGACCATAATCGAGTCAATATTTGGGCCAATTTTGGCAACACTAAGTGCAACTTGCAATAGAATCTAAAATATGCTTTAACATTAAAAAAAAAAATGTAAATCCCTATTTTTGTCCTCCAAGAAAATAGGTGTCATCACTTTCTAATCCCTTAGTAATGCAAAATATCATCACTTTGATACTCCAAAGATTTCTAACATCAATTTATTCCCTCAATAATGTAAAATGTTATCAATTTAGTCTCTCAATCAAGTAAAATGTCATCAAAGACCGATAGATTTGATAATACCTTGAATAGTAGGGAGACTAAAGTGATTACGACAAAAATTTAGTTTACTCTTAAAAAATAATTCTTAATTTCTTATATGGTAAAAAGCCACAAAAACAAAGCTGGTCATCCTTCTTTAATCGATCACTGAACTTTAGGCACTTAGTGGGAGATTAACCTACATTGATGGCACCAATTATATATTATTGAAAGCAATTGGCACTTACATGTATGAAAAATTTTAAAGTGCTGTTGACATATCTCAAAAGAAAATTCATAAATGAAGCATAGTGCATCATAAGCCTGCTTTATCTTATATACATGAACCATTCACTTCATAAATAGCATATAGATATGTAATGAGACATATACTACTTGGAAAATATTGTTTCATGATTCCTGTCACTACCAACCAAAATTTCAGTCTCAACTCAGCTTCCACCTACAGTTAATGGATAGGACATTGTACTTGTTTTTTTTATTTTTTATCAGTAAATAAATTAGTCACCTGAGTGAACTGTGAAGCTGCTATGCCACCAAGCACCCTTCCAGTCATTCTGCGCACTAGAATCATTAGCTGACAACAGAAAAAGGGTCAGATTTTAATATACCTTAAATTGATAAGAACTTAGAAGATCATCAACAAATAAAGGGGTTGAAATCAAGATTAAATACAAAACCCAAAATGTTCCAAGTCATATTACATAAAGAAAAGAGATGATTAAACTTCATAATTTATGAAGCAATAGGATATTTTTGTAAAACTCAAATCATAAGCATAAATGGACCGACAAAAAATTCAACAATTCTCCACACAAAATCTTTCAACATAAATTTATGATTCTCATAGAGGTTAAATTCAGAAGTTACTCACTGAAACAATATTTTCCTTTTACAGGGAAAGAGAATGACATAATCTGGTTTGACATTATGATACTTCATATTTTTTAGCCCATAACATTTCAGCAACAAAGAGAAAGTATTATGAAGTGTTGATGATTATGAAAACCCTATTGAACATGAAATTGATGGAGACAGCTACCATGATTACGATGACATACTGCTTGCTTTGTACTATTGTGGTGAGAGTCATGAACTGTGGTCCCTACAACTGTGCTTGACAATCGTGTTTCATGTCATTTTAACACGTAATCATTTCCTTTACCTGAGTTAGGAACATAAAAGTTGTCTACATAATCTTAGCATAAAAAATACTTAATCTCTCTCTGTCTTCTTGTCCTCTCCTACACAGATGCTTAAAGTAATTTATGACACATCATACACCTGCTTAAATCCAATCAGTGGATAATGTTGGGATCTGCTTTCATTTCGTTGGCATCAATTTTAAATTGGGATTGGTAGAACAAAGATAAATTATTTCATAAAAACTGGTGATTAGAGAGCAAAGTTAGAAAAGATTAATGTCAAATGTGAACCTGATTTTTCATGGATAAGCTAAAGGAATAAAGTGCTGGACGACTTCATGCATGGTTCAGAACAAGCTAACACTATTATTTATATGGCCAAGTGTGTAAAGTGAAAAGCATATTGACAAGTAAGCAAACTAAACAATGTAAATAATAGAAAATTCAATGAGGAAGACAAACATTGGAAGAGGGAAAAAGACAAGCAATATGATGATAGAAAATGTACACAGAAAAATAAAACATTTCTCACATGAATAAAAGCATGAGTATCAAGGAAGCTGTGGTTAGTGAACAGGAGTGAAGTCATGCAAGCAATGATTATAGTTTCAAGATTTAACAAAGTTCTATAGACTGTGGAGGAGCCTACATTTCCATAGGACGAAGTGAATTATTAAGTGGAAAGTTTGAGAAAATGTTTCCTTTATAAATATTATTACTACCCCAATGGCTTTGCTTTGATCCCTCTGTGATACTTCCACTTGGCCTTTTAATCCCATTCATTCTGCCTTTTTTTTTCTAATCATATAAACATATAATTCACATTAAAGGTGTCATATTTGAACATACCAGAACCTGAAGGACCAGTTCCATCCAAGTATCTACAATGTGGATTCCAGGCATATAGATCAACCAAGTGACCAAACCTGCACCAGCAAATGTCGAAAACTGAATGAACACATCCAGCAGAAAGACACCCCTTAGACTAGTTGAAATCCTCATGAATTGTCAACCAATACACAAAAAGCATGGATCACCTGTCGTTGCCATTTCCATCCCTATTATCTAGGGGATTGCCACCATAAAGCCGTCCGGGAATAGCACTTCCAATTGAAAAGTGCATAATGTCAACTTCATGACCTTTGCAGGTCTTGTTTGTGCACGAAGTTGAATGTTCCTCACAGCCACCCATCTTTAACAGAACATTTATCAGTCAACAGTTGTCAAAGAGATGAACAAGAAAGAATTCTAACGAGTGGATCAACTCACGTTATGATAAGAAGCACTATCCCCAATTTGAAACATGAGAGCGACAGAGGGACATTTGTTGCTTTCGCTGCATTTAAGGAAAAAAAAAAAAAAACACCAAAGCTATCATAAACGAATACCAAACAAAGTGGATAATATTTTTAATCCATGTTATCTTCCTTGTGAATAGAATAAACGCAAGTTCATATAGCACTGAAACACGCTAAGAAGATGCAGTTGGTCTGCACCGCATGACACGGCACACTTACCCTTTAGAGTAGGCATAATCCTTATCAACTTGCAAGAGAAAGAAAATATCGTGGCCATCATGCACACTCTGCAACAAATCGATAATCACGAGAAGAAGCGAGAAAATGAAATGAAACGAAAGCGAAATGAAATTGGCGAGGGACTAGAGAGACCTTAACACTCATCTTTCCACCTTTGAATTGATTTTCGGCGTCGGGATCGAGAGCGGGGAGGAGAGGGAAGTAAGAGCCATCAATATCCTTCCAATCGTCGGCGTGGCCATCCAGTGTAATCACTCCGGGTCTGAACTCGGCTTCGACTCGGATCTCCGACTCGGACTCGCAGCTCCAGTGACCCGATTCCTCGTGCGAGTCCACGAAGCCCCAACCCAGGAAGAACAAAACGAAAAGGAAACGAAGAAGCATTCTGGTACGGTATGGGTGAAACGACGCGGCTTTGAAATGAAGTTTCAAATGAAGGAACGTGTCGTTTGTTAATATGAATGGATTTATATGAGTTTGACTTGACTGGGTGGCAGCCCGTGCAGGAAAGGAAGGATCGCCACTCCCACCGCCCTTGACTTTTCTGTTTGCTTGAAAATTCAGATCACAGTGTCACATAAACAGACATGACAGAACATAACATCACACATAGCACTTCCTTTTCTTTTCATCTGCACTTTCATTCCTCCCTTCTTCCCTATGCCCCCACTCTTTCCTTTTACCCAATTTTACCTTTTATTTAATCATATCAGATATACACGTCAAAATCTACCATTTATTAAGCACACCATATCTTCACTCTACACTTTTATCATTTCTTATTATTGTCAAATAAATTTTAATAAACCTTACTAAATAATGTGTGTTTTCTTTTCTATTTAGTATAAAAATTAAAAATAAAACGTCAAATAAAAAAATATTAATCTTTAAGAGATTAAAAATTTATATATTTAAGTAAATAATTATTATTTATATTTCAAAGTTATACATATCTATTCATATAAAATTTATTAATTTTTTAAATACATAAATTAAACAAAAAATTATATTTATAAATAATAAAATATTTAAAATAATTACAACCTTATTAAGCTGAAAAAGAATTAAAAATGTATATAAAATTTATATATTTAAGTTAATGATTATCATTTATAATTCAAAATCATACATATTAATTAATAAAAAAATACTATAAATCAATAATAAAATTTTAAATTAATATGATAAGAATTGTTTAATTATATTATAATAAAATTAATTATAAATTCATTCATATAATAGGTCATTTAAAATTTTGAGTAAGTATAATTTCATATATTATATATAGCAAATATTTTATTTTTATATAAAAATTAAATATTTTTTTAAAATTAATATATCATGTAAAATATAGATGATATAAATTGAGATGATTATATTTTAAAAATTAGAATAGATAATCATATGTTAAAAATTATAATAAAAATGTTAACATTAGTATTTTATTTATTTCTTTAAAAATAAAAAAGTAAAAATATAAAATTAGGAAAATTTTATAATTAATAGTGTTATAAAAATAAAATTTATTAAAATGTATATTTAGTCTATATATTTAACATGTTTATAAATTTTTATATTTAAAAAATTATATTTTAATTTTTATAAAATTATTTTGTTATATTTTTTATTGATATTATTATAAAAATAAAGATTAAAATGCAAAAAAAAAAAACATTTATATATAGATCAATACATAATTCTGTTTTAAATATAAAAAACAATTCATAAATTCAACCAAACTATTAATATAGAAAAAGGTGGTCTAAAAAAATTGATACAAAGATTGCATGTCCTGCTCAAAGGAAGGAAATGGCAAATACATTTGCACCCTAAAAAGGAATTATATACGCACGATCGTTGTCGTTTAGAGCCTAAGTGGAAAACTAATGTTGCAATTTGATTTTTGTGAGTGCAACCATCGCATCCATATCAAAAAAGTAATATATTAGTGTACCACCTTAATGTACGGTCGCTGATATATTAATGCATTCTTTATCTTCTTATAGAGTTTATTTAATTCACTAAAAATTAATATTATATTATATTATATTGTATACAATTATTTTCTTTTTATTTTATTTTATTCTGCATGCACATTTTAAAAATACACAAAAAAGTTGTCTCGTTAAGGTGTACAAAATACATTTCTCATATATTTCTATATGGTAACCAATGGAATGAAAGTGAAGTATATATATATATATATATATATATATATATACACAAATTATTATGATAATATGTAATTGTTTTAAATTCCCAGTATTTATCTAACATTGACTTAGTAATTTTTTGTCATTTTGAATTATATGGCAAATCTAATTAATTATAACCCATCCAATTTAATAAAAGAAAATAAACTTGATGAAATTTGACTTTTGCCAAATTTAACAAGTTCTTTTAACCTTTTCTTTTTCTAAATAATGTATAATTGATTTTTCATACTAAGAAAAAGGATTTTCATTATTTTTTCTTTTGTGAATTGACCTTTTATTTTAAATCAAGTTTATTTATCTTGAGTGTGGGATTCTTTGTGTTTATTGTTTCTTTTGAACTAATAGGATTCGACAATTAAAATATTTTTTAAATATATAGCTTAATATTTGTTTGATTTATAATCACCGAAAGATTACGATTCTTTAATTATTAAAAGAAAAGGAAAAGATAAAAGTCAAGGAATTAAATTTAAACCAATTGAGTGAATTTGATCTACAATTAAGAGATTTAAAGCTTCAATTGATTGGATAATTAGTTGCATAAAGAAAAGAGTAAAAAGATTTAAATCCTAATGCTTAATAGCTAATGCCTCCTCAGTCTTTTTTTTTTCTTTTTATGGGAAACAATCATCTTAATTCTGTGTATTTTGATTACACAACATGTACAATAGATTTTCAACGCTGACACAACAAAACATATTACCCTTCATTTAAAAAATATTAATTTATTCTTCGTACAATCAAAGCCTAGTTTAAACATTTTTATTAATAGATGAGTTAAATTTCAATTTTTTAAAACAAATTCAAATTATAAATTTAAAATAAACAAACGTAAATTAACAAAAAAAAAATACTTTTAAAATATTTTGTGAAAATTTGACGAGTCAATTTTATATTATAAGAGTCATTTTTTAGTTTTATATATTTTTAAAATATATTTTACAATATTTTATATTTTTATATAATAAAATAAATAAATAAATAATACATGCTTTAATATTAACATAATATTACGTAGTTATGAATAATTTAATACAAATCAATTAGTTTATGAAAGCTAAATTCACAACTTTCACAACAAATATATAACTTTGATTAAACCCTCGCTTTAGTTCCTGGCAATATTTGAGTACAGCATTTTAATCTCTTAAAGATATTTAAAATATCACATTAGTTCTTAACTTCTTTCTTTGTCATTTATTTTAGTCTCTGACGTCAGATCCCGTTAAAAAACTGTGACAGGAGATTGAGTTGTCACGTTAAGTGATATATCAGAATCCTACTTGACAGAAATAGATTATTTTTTTGAAACTAGCGTGACACTTTTAATTGCGAAACTGTGTCATTCTAATCCAAGTACCACTTTGCCAAACATATTAGCATATATGTTATGCTCCTCTAAGATTTTTCGTCCTTTGACTGCCATATACCAGAAGACACCTTCCCAAGAGCACTTACATGAGCTAACTTTAAAGCAACATTAGCACTAGACTAAGCAGATTACTCTGCCTCAACAACACTTGTCACTTCTCTTCTCATTAACCATACATTTGGATAAATACCACTACCACCACTAGAACTTTCTTGTTCCTTACTACCTTCTAAACTCAGAGGATTCATCACTATGTGAATTACCACAGTGATCTGGCTGAGAAAAATTTTTCCAGTTCAAATAGAAATCTAAGACACTAGAGCCATTTACTTGCCTAATAAACTCCCTCTTGGTCAATACTCAAGCTTCACCTCAACATGAGAAGGTAGAGCACGAATGCTCTCATCGCTAATTGTTCTTTGCGAGGCAGAAATACCATCAAGGAACTTCCTTTCATCCTTGTCAAAATTTCTGCCAATGGGGCAGCGTGTGATAGAAAAGAGATTTTGTCATCTAAGAGCTTATACACAGATTTATCAATAAAAAAGCCTCGTCAAATCAATAAAAAACAAAAATCATGTACAATTAAAAGTCATAGATCTATTTTTCCTATCTTGTTCGTCCCCAAAACATTAAACACTTAAAGTTCTTTGTCCTCAAAACAAAAAAATGACTTAATAAATTAAAAAAAATTTTTTTACCGAATTTTCTATTTGTTAGCCCTTCAGTATAACAAATTTCAATCTTTAAATATTTAATCTCTAAACATAACAACGAACAAAAATTTAGACAAAATTCTGCCTGCACTTAGGGTAAATTCTTCTTCCAACACAAATGAAGAAATATATCATTAAGTTTGAGCAAAAAGTACTTCAATCAAAATGACACTGTTTCGCAATTAAAAATGTCAGGCGAGCTTGCAAAAAAGACAAGGTTGGATTCAAACTCTCCATTAAGTGAAGGTTTAGTCATATAATTTTAGCTAGTTTTACCACTAAAACTTAGACGCTCGCAGCTTTCGTTTTACCGAACAAAGGAAACTAAGCTGCGTCTCCCGTTCAAAAGCTGCGAAAAAGCATACTTCACCAAAAAACTCATTGAGAGGAGATTGTCTTTTAGCTGATATCAAGCTTCTTCAAAAGAGCTTCGAGATCCGAATGGTCGAAACTGCCTGAGGTTTGAAACTGCGTCGTCTTTGAAATTCATTGATTGATAGGAATTGAAACTGAAGCCGTAGCAGCAACGGTGTTAACGAAATCCGTAACTTCTGGATTATTGTTGAAATTGAAGAGAACCTTCACCTTGTTCATCGTATCCGAGTTCTGATAAATCAGCTCCGAGGAACCGAGCTCAACCAAGCCGTTTCCTGAAAGTATGCAGACCAGAGTCTGCAACCCGAACACCTGTCCCTGCCGCGCCCTCTCGCACGGCGAGGCGGTCTCCGCCGGTGACCCAAACGGGGGTGGAATTGAAGAAGGCCTGACCGGGCAACCCGCGGCCGTTTACGAAGGACTGGGTCATGGAAACGAGGAAGAACCGCTCCATGTCGGTGACCCCTTCGTCGACGTCGGATGAGGAGGAGCCGGAGATGAGGAAATTGAGTTCGCGGATGACCTTTTTGCTGTGTTCTTGCTCGGCGGAGGAGGTGGCTTTAGCCTTGGCTTTGCCGTTGTCGCCTTTGTAGTAACCGTCACCCCAACCGAGAGTTGTCGTCAGAGGATTGCAGAAGATGGCGTAGGTCCAGCTCTCTCTTGCGCCCTCTATGAGGGCCTGGAGACGCTGCTGGTACGTGTCCTGGTTGAAGACGGTGGCGGACTGGGGGGCGGGGGGGGGGGGACCGCGGTGCCATGGAGGAAAGATCACATCCACAGATTAATTCACCCTGAACAAAAGGTGTGTGTTTTGGAGTTAGAACTTGGAGAAGAGAGAGAGAGAGAGAGAGTTCATGATTCATAATTTTAGGTTACTTAACAGAGGGGAGAGTCAGTGCTCTTCTTTATTCTGTTTGTCTGTTGTTACTTCTTTTAAGTAGAAGTTTTGGGGAGTTGGATGTGATCTTACTTAAGTTATCTTTTAAGGC